ATGCACAGTGCTTGCAATCTCACTCATCCCTGAAAATGCCAATACTCCCTGATCATCTTTAAGTAATTGAACACTGGCAAGAATCTGAATATATTTTGAGTAATCATGGCTGAACTTGTAAGTTCTCGTCTCAAAAGATCTTGTGACATATCTCATTAGCGTATTATAGGCAGAAAACATCTAAACCACACATACTAAGATGTTTTGGTGCCGCCATGGCCTTTGCGAGCGTGCGCCGATCAAGTGCCAGCAATTCCGCTGTGGAATCAAATATCAAAATAGAGTTAGGGACTGTAAACAATCACGCACCTTCTTCTTTGGCTTTACTGTCCCTCAGCTCCTTCCCAACATCTTGTTGATCTACCCTTTCGTTTTCCCGCCGTTTCTGACAAGCTTTTATGTGCGATCTGATTCCGTAGGGGCTGAACCCATGCCCACAGAACTCACATAGAACCTTTTCTGTTGCCTTGGCTTGCTTTTGTGTTTCCATTTGGCCAGATAAGATGACGAGAGCGAGACATTCACAACGTAAATGCTCCACAGACACGCCGTGAGGTTGGGAGAGAGGAATGGGAGCAAATGGGAGGTAATCAGGTCGCTATCAACAAGACGTCCGAGTCAATGATCCATCATTACGCGGATACAATTCCCGATACAATCACATTGTAACTGATCCGGTCCATCAATTCTCAGTTATAACCAAACTAGGACCCTTTCAACGCCTCGATCCGATGGCAATCTATTGCAACTCAGGTTCAAACCAGTTACCTTGCTTGTCAAGGTCTATTTCCACGGTCATAATTATGTAAGCCGTCGTACTGTCCCCCAAGGTCATATATCGCTTTTATTTCAGCCGAAGCGTTAGAGACCGCTCTAGACTGGCTGCCAAACACAACCAAGCCAATCCGTCGTACTGGCCCCCAAGATCATATATCACTTTTATTTCAGCCGAAACGTTAGAGACCGCTCTAGACTGCCGCCAAACCTAACGGCGCAAATTTGCCATCCCCAGTTGCTGAGAGATTTCTGTGATACTTACTCAATCTATTGTCTTCAACAAATCTGCTCAAATTCTTCAACTTATACAATACTACTTACTAGTAACAATACTGACCAAAAGATGATAGATGCCTGCTACGTAAGTAGTGGGTCACACTTTTTTTGTAAATACAAGCTTCAGACCCATCCACTTTCATTGGCTGCGAGGAGCGAACCGCGTAAGTGGTTCGGCGACAAGCAGCCAATAAAAGATCACAAACTTACTCTCATTTTTAATCGCCATAGTGGGCTTCAAAGCGCCCGCAGGGGCGCTACAGTGATTATTATTATTTATTTTGCATGAAATACAAGCAAGGTTTTTGTTGACATTGGAACAATGTCAAACTCTAGTGTTGAAACTCAGTCATAATGCGAGCCGGTTGTGACCGGCTAAAGAAATCTCCGACACGCTTCTTGTGGAAACAAGGTTTCTACGCAAGCACTTTGGAAACCCTGGGTTGTTCAGGGGAAACCAGGGTTTCTGGATAGTTTAATCCCCATGTTTCTACTACGACATTTGTACCTCCAGAACCGACGTCGAGGGCGGTTTACTAGCCCACTGAATCTCCAGCCCGCCCATGCTCTGCATTGACACTGTCGTATCGATCAGCACATGTTGCATGTTCAACACACATTCTAGGCCGACACAGCGTCGCCAATCGTTCACTTCAACAACAAGATCCAACGTATTCAATTTTTCCATGATCTTGCAAACCTCTCGCGCCGTCTAATCAATGTCGAGGCCTTCACTCTCACTGTGAACGAGATGCCTTCGTCTTACCCTTCGAAACTTCAAGTTCTGATTGTGTAGAGACGTGCTGTTCTTTGCCTCCGATTTCTCGATGACAAGCTAACGGGTTGCGTTTCATAAGCTTGATGACATGGCAGTCGGGCCTTTCCTCCAAAGCATCAACGTCATACTTGCGAGAATGCTGTCCGACGTCTGCCGGAGCTGATGAGCCAACATCGATGTGAGAGGTACTTGTATATCGTTCGTCGTGATTACCCATCAGACTAACCAAGCTCTTAGCGGCGACAGGCAGCAAAACGCCCAGTGCGCAGAGGATAAACATCACCGTGTACATTTCAGAGAGTGCGAATGGAGGAGGGCCATAACAGCCCGAACTACGAGGAGCAGTTCTGTCGAAGGGGGTGATCGTGTATAGGGTAGTATATAGACGTAGGCACTACTTTTCGTAAAGTAATGACGAGGATACCAGTCAGAAAGGAGACCGGACGGAATGGTGCAATGGGTCGTGACAGAAGAGCAGTGTACGTTTGAACTCTTGAAGGGGTACCTTACTTCCCCAACATCTCCCAAACCCCAAGTCCAAACGCTCCTCGACCTCCCAATCAAGATCAAGGTCAAACACATCCTCACAATCACCCTCCCTCGCATCACCTCATCACCCGCGTTCAGCCTCAGCAAGGCTCAGATTGTTAGTCCAAGCACCGTCGAGCAGGGCCAGTCGAGGCTGGTGGACGGATCAGTGCACCTGGTGTTCCCAATGACAGGAAGGGTGGATTGTCAGTTGCGTTGTTGAGCTTGGTCAGAGGCAGACGCGGAGGCACGGCTCAACGAAGAGTTATTATGCCACGAATTTGATGTTCATCCATTCGAGTTCGAGTGAGTGTAGCTTTTTGAGTTTTTGCACGTGCAGACACCTCCGTCGAGATCGGCATGTTCGTCGTCTTGCTCGGCGGAAACAAAGCGCCAAATCCTCCTCTCGAATGCTGGTGAGAGTGAGAGGGAGACCCCGACAGAAAGATAGCCGTAGTCCCGCCCCACTGAGACGCCTAAGCAGCGCCAACCCATAACTCCTCTGTAACCCGTCTCCATCGCCAACCACACCAGCTTCCACAAGCCTCTTCATCTCCTTCCTCGCCGTCCTCCTTTGCCTCCGCCTCGGCTGCTTCAGTTGCTTTCATTTTTTGGATGGTGGATATGTCTGATGGAGCGGCGTCGAAATCAAAGTTTGGGTAGTTGGCGTTGTTGTAGGCGTGCTGCCACTACTGCTGCGGTGAGGACGACGGAATAAAGGCACATCCTCAGCGTCATCGTTGGGGTATTGGATAGGTGGTCATCAAACCCGAAGATTCTCATTCCGCCCGCCCTCAATAGACTGGGCCGTTCGTTCCCATCCCCTTTTCTTCCTCCTCCGGCAGGGATTGGACTGCAGTATATGCGTCTCCCCCCGCTCATTAAGAGTCCGCTGAGAGACCCTGCTCATCAACGCGCGGTGGGGTCATATGACTCTGGCCGTTCATCTGCTAATGATGTCGAGCTGGGCCGTCGATTCGGTGTGTAGACTGTCAGCGGAAGATTTGGGCTGTGTCGGTCGATGGGAAGGGCGTTGTCATTTGGCGGGAGAGATCGTTTGGTTGGAAAGTGGAGGGAAATTTGGAGGGATTGTGATTGTGATTACGTGCAGCGTCCAGCTTCATCGCCCCTCGAAGGACGTGTTGTCATTGTTCACGGCTCTGCGGAAATTGGTGTCAGATCGATCCATTGAATAACGTGTGAAGCAGTACATACCTCAGAGAAGCATCCGTAGCTCAGGAAGAACGTGGGGTTGTGTATGAGATAGGGAAGGAGAAGGGGGGTACGCTGCTGCCTTGGTTGAGAACAAGGGTAAAACGTCGCAAAGGATATACGATACCCCTTCTGTTGTATTCGCGCATTGGACGTCTGAGTACCGAGGTTTAGTTGACGTTGTGAGAGACAATGATGGCGTACACACCTCAAAAAGACCACTTCTTTCGATTCTCAATGTTTTCAGCATATCAACTGTACGTCTCCAAATCAAGGTGAGGTGACGCCAATCTTCGAGGCCTGTTACAGTCACCGACTCCGAATCCGCTGCGTGCTACTGCCCTTTGCATATATGATTGAACGTTTGTATTTTTTCTCACTATTTGTCTTGGCCAAATATGATGACAAATGTTGCCAAATTAAGCCGACAGACGAAGGTCTCGTCCGTCTCTGGCTCTCGCCCTCTGCAAAGATCTGAGAGACGACGTGGTGAAGTGGCCTCAGGGTTATGGGTATTCTTACACAAAGCTTGATGAGTTTTTAGGCTATTGATCTGGTACATTAGCAGTAGCTTGAGTAGCTATACTTATGGTCAATCTACTGATCCCTATGCATCCCTTTACAATGTTTTATAATAAATACCCCAGGAGGCTGAGAATACAAATATCTCGCATTTCTTGACAGTCTTGCAGAGCTAGCAACCCAGTATCTACTTGAATGAGGTCTGGGCAAATTTAAAGAGGATTGGGGAAAAGATTCTCATGAATGAAGGCAGAGATAAATATTCTTTCACTTAATTATATTCTAAGAATGACAGAGCTTTTTTCAATGTTGTTCATGGCCAGAAGGCGTTGAGAGAGCTTGTGGATGGTATACTTAAGTATTCTCAGAACGTTGTTCCCTACCCATCTTTGCCTAATTTGGCAAAATTTGTCATCATATTTGGCCAGGACAAATAGTGAGAAAAAATTCGAGCGTTCAATCATATATGCAAAGGGCAGTAAGATGGTAATCACCGTAAGTTAGACCTGATTATTGAATCAAAAGAATAAGACACTTACTTCATGACCTTGCTCGCTTGACGAGCTGATGCGACTCGTCGATAGTGCAGGTTCTTGAGTACATCGTTGACGATGGGGGAAGAAAACAAACGTTGGTCAACACAAATTTGTTTTTGTCCTCGACCACCATCATCATCTCCAGCTCGCACATTACCTACCGGTCGCTTGCCTCGAATTTACACTCAAATTTTTGTTGACATGTGAGACTCAAGCTGTGGTCGACACTCGCTGAGGTGAGCTCAATCTGTCATTGGCAATTGCCTTTTGATTGTCAACCTAACAGAGGAATTGAGAGATCACGCTCACGCACAAGCTACTAAGCTGGTAAAGGCTTTGGAAAGTCCACTCCACTAGGGATATTCGATACGGGATGGGTCTGTAGCAGCAGTGCGTATCCATCCGTATTCATTTAGCTACTTTTTCACTTACAACCCTCGTTTCTCTCCTCAGTGAGGCTATGTCGACTCCCTCGCAGGTCCAGTTGGTCGGCGGTGAAGTGGGACTCACCTACGAGGTCGTCATTTCCCGCACGCGTTATGTATCTGCGCAGACGGAAATCAAGACACGCATAGTCGCTTGTGGAGTCTCTCGCGAACGCCCGAGATCTGGGCGAGTGGATGGGTGCACCTTCTCACGCGATCTTCAACTTTTCACCAAGGTATTCCCCTTCCATTGCTCCTCGAAGGCTGCATACTAACGTTGTTACTAGTGCCCGTCCCCTTGATATGGACATACATCTTCAGTCCTTCACCATCCCCTATTTCCCCTCCCTAATGATCGCCATGTCAAAGCCTGCCTACCTCGCCGTTCTGGAGTACTCTCCCTCAAAACCCGTCATCGTTTTTGTTCCCTCCAGGCGACAGTGCCGCCTTACGGTCAACGACCTTCTGACTCACTGCCTAGCGGACGATAAACCTGATCGATTCCTCAACATCGAGCTTGACGACTTACAACCGCACCTGAACCACATCAGCGACAAGGGCCTCGTTAAAACACTCAACCACGGTATCGGGTACTACCACGAGGCTCTCAATAAGCAGGACAAACACATCGTTCAGCGCCTGTTTGAATCAGGAGCTATCCAATTGCTTGTTGCGTCAAAAGACACGGCTTGGAGCTTACCAGTGGCGAGTTACATGGTGATCATCATGGGTGTACAGTTCTATGAGGGCAAGGAGCATCGTTACATTGACTATCCAGTCATGGACGTTCTCCAAATGATGGGCCGCGCTTGTCGGCCAATGGAAGATGAGCGCAGTCGATGTGTTCTCATATGCCAGCAAACACGGAAGGACTTCTACAAGAAGTTCCTTGCCGAAGAGCTTCCAATCGAGTCACATCTCCCGACCCATCTCCTTCATGACTACTTCCTCGCGGAGATCGCAGTCAAAACCATCGAGAACAAGCAAGATGCTATGGTAAGCGACCCCCAATCATGTTTCTTCATTGCGTTTACGTTCTATCCCTCAGGATATTCTTACTTGGACTTACTTCTACCGCCGAATGACTCAAAACCCAAACTATTATAATCTGCACAATGTCAGCCATTAGCATCTGTCCGACCACCTTTCAGAACTTGTTGAAAACACTTTGAGTGATCTCGTGAATTCAAAGTGTATCGCAATTGGTAGGTTTCTTCCCTTTTTTTCTGCTAATCTGTCTGATCCTTTCTTCAGAGGACGAAATGGATGTGTCGGCGCTCAATCTTGGAATGATCGCTGCCTATTACAATATCTCATGTAAGTGCCCATCACTTGGAAGTCACCCAGTCGCTTATCGGCTTGTTAGATGTGACGGTCGAGGTGTACACATTGTCTCTCAAGGAGCGTACGAAGTTGAAAGGCCTTCTCGAGGTTGTATCGTCATCGGCCGAATTTGAAACTATCCCGATCCGGAGACACGAAGATGCTCTTCTTCGTTGCATCTACAACCGCGTCCCATTCAAACTAGAGCGAGCCGACTTCGAGGCCCCCCACTTCAAAACGTTCTTGCTCCTTCAAGCTCACTTCTCGCGGTTGCAATTGCCGCCTGATCTGGCTGCTGACCAGGTTCTCGTCCTGGAGAAAGTACTCAATCTTTTGTCGGCCAGCGTCGATGTGATGTCGTCTAGCGCTTGGCTAAGCGCTCTGGGTGCAATGGGTCTATCCCAGATGTGTGTACAAGCCAGGTGGGAGACGGATTCGCCTCTGAAACAGATCCCTCACTTTGAGACTGAGGTAAGTAAACTCATGCTGTAAGAGAGTCATTCGCTCACAAGTCATCGTCGCTTCAGGTAATCAAGCGTTGTAAGGACGCCGGTGTCGACTCCTTCTATGACATCATGGAGCTCGAGGACGATCGTAGAAACGAGTTGCTCCAGATGACGCCCGCCCAAATGTAAGAATCACAAACTTTTCCTTACGATCGAAGCTCACATCATTTCAGGCGAGATGTCGCAACCTTTGTCAACTCCTACCCCACCCTCGACATCTCTCATGATCTCGTCAAAGGAGAATACACCGCAGGCGCGCCAATCATCCTCCACGTATCGCTGGCACGTGACGCGGACGATGAGGATGATGGTGACCAAAACGTTGTTGCACCTTTCTATCCCCTCAAGAAGTTGGCGAATTGGTGGCTCATTGTCGGAGACCCTGCCTCCCGCCAGCTCCTCGTCATCAAGCGAGTCACGGTGACGAAGAGCCTTGCCGTCAAGCTTGAGTTTACGTTGCCGAAGGGCAGCCACTCACTGAAGCTCTACGTCATTTGTGACTCTTACGTTGGTGCTGACCACGACATTGGTCTCGAACCCATTGAGGTGCTTGAAGGAGAGGATAGCGACAGCGATGAGGATATGGGTAGCGATGAGGACGAGTAGACTTCGGGGCTTATGCATTATGATCTGTGTATTTGTATCTTTTTTGTAGTTGCTCAGTAATTTCTTGATGTTTTCGTTGAGAACGGAGCTGGTCATTGTTTCATAATGCGCCACCCGTTCTCGGTATTCATTGTATAGAGGTTGCTTCACGAAAATAGTCAACGTTGGCCTCCCATCATGGGAAACCTCCCCTTCGAGGCCACCTGTCAACGCAGCGTGGAGGGTTATGTGAAAGAATGCGAAGAAGAACAGTTGAAAGATTACATTGATAAGACTATATACATTTGCGTGGTGGGACATGAAATTAGATTACACATTGTAGATCATTCAATTGGAGAGCGTGAAGAGAGGAGGTATCAACATTGTTGTTCCGCAAAGATTCCAAGACCGACTTCAGAGCCTTAAACTGGTTTACCTTGTCCTTTTTCTACAAGTTTGGAATGAGAAAACTGAAATGGAGAGCTCCTGAACGAGAACTCGCCTGGTACGTAACCACGCGACCCGACGTACTCGACACAGCGTAGAAGAGGGTTTCCTTGGGGCATGCTGTCAAAGAACCCAATTACCATCCATCAATCGTCAAGACTGAACAGATTTCCTTGCCTTGTTCACCTTGATACTGAAGCTTGTAAGGCTGGATTCCGATAGCCGCCTTCGTCTTTCGGCCCTTTCCGACCTGTCGAGGAGTAAGTAACGGGGGTAAAGCCGAAGACAATCTCACAATTACCGGCATCACTTTAGATTTAACGATGTCCGCTATTCCCAGTCCTACAAAGCATACAATCTTGGGGCGGTGTGTGGCAATTTTGGCGAGGAGAGCAGGAACTCCCGCTAATCGCTCGGCTTTGGATAGCTCGCTTTGCTACGGATGATGAGATCGTCGGTGACTGGGAACTTTGCATGAGAAGTACTGGTACCTCAGCAGTTGGACGATCAACGAGATTCGTCTATGAAGGTGTGAGTACCCGTGCCGCGCTCACTGATAAAAGGAAAGAAGGCGTACCATCCCGATCGAGAACTGTTCTGGGAGAATGAAGTCTTCTTGAGGACGGAGAAGTCGTGTAGTGAAGCCTGATTCGTACAGGCAGCTCCAGAAGTGATTCGTTGGACCACCAAAATGGTGCCCTATCTCAGCGGACGTCTGACCGGGGCTGAGAACGATCATTAGCGTGTCAAGAGTGGCAGTCCGACGAACTCACTTGATACCACAAAAAACTACTAAAAGAGTGTGTGAGGGGCTGGTTCGGAATGTTCATGCTTTGATTGACTCACCTTCTAACCCACTCCGCAAGTGATTCCGAAGTTCCCGCAGGTGAGCGTACGTAGACGGCTCGGCATACCCTCGTTTCTGTTTCTTGGAGGGAGAGCCAGGTTCTAAACGACCGACCGGTTCATTGGGACCTTCGCCGAGTGCTGAAATCGACCGCTTTCTAGTCCTCAGATCCTTTACGCGAGAGCTTGCGGCTATTGGGCTGTTCGACTCTTTTGCATGATCCTGATTTCGTGGCCTCCTCTGGGTCGTTGTGGCTTTGTCGTGACCGGGCGCCTTGGATTTTTGATTCGACAGATGCCAGTGCGCGAAGGCGAACCGAGCTAATGAGGCTTGGAAACGTTCGGAGACCTTGGAAACTTCAGGTGTTTCGTGATTACGGAGGTTCCGGAAAGTGCCTCCTCCTCGTCTCTTGGTTTGCGTTTTGGCGCCATGAGTTTCAAGAAACGCGCCCGTGTCCCTATAGACGATTGAACGAGTCCGTCAAGGTGTCAATCATGTCGCGTCGGAGTGAGCAAGGTGGTGGTTTGAGTTCAATGTTTGGTTCAAGACGGCATCGCTTTTCACTGACCTGCACAGATTAGAAAGATTTTTACCTCCAACGTTATGAGCCCCCACGCAATCTCTTGTGAATCTGATTATCGATAAACGTTCACGAAGATCATATATTTGGTGGCCATTCGTGTTACGCTTGTCTGGATCTCCCAAAGAAACTAAACTTGAAGCATCCGAATGTACCCAAAATGTACCTCGATGACGGTGCTTAATCAAACCTACAGTTAGGCCTGGGTTAGGCCCAGAAAAGTATGCGGTTGAGCTTTTGGAACTCGCTCACTGCCATCCTCAGGCCTTGACCTTCAACAATGATTAATGACTGGCCTTGGACTGGCCCGGGTCGCGGCCATTAGGCGGTGTTGTAGAGTATGGAAGTCGTTTTTTGGTTTGAAAATCTCCATGTTAGTTTGGAGAGTGTGTAGACGAGGTCGGCATCCAGCTGGTGGTTTTTAAGGTGCAAAAGATGTATATATTGCGGAGTAACAAAAAGTTCGTCGACACATAGATCGAGCCTACATGAGACCTCTGCATGGAGAGGCGTGTCGATTACACATGAACACTGGCTGTGGAGCGGGTATAGATGGGAGGATGGCATGCACTGAAGTCTCGAGAGACACCTTAGCATGGGTGTCTGCAGTAGTAGCGAGCTAGGGCACTACTTTGTGGGTCCAGAAAACCACTTTTGGACGTCTGCAGTAGTAGCACGCGCGGGGTGTCTTTCTAGCTTTGTAAAAACATGATACTATATTAACATTGTAAGTCGGGAGCAGCAGGAGCATGAGCAGGAACGTACATTGGGCGGCCGATACAGTGGAGAGCTCTCTAATCTCATCTTTTCTATCCAAGGTGGCGCTTGTTCCAACCCTCGCAGAACCCCCGGCAAGTCTCCGTCTATTGAGGCATACACGGCGGGTTTCATTGAAGGCAGGTTTGCCAGCTGAAGGAACTCTTCCAGACGACGCTCCAATGTCGGGGTGCGGGGTGGCTTCCACCTCTCGAATGGAAGGTGCCAGAAAAGTATGCTGAGTCCGTCACCGACCCAAACGCAGTTCATGTGGAGCTCTTGGATGCCACTGCGCCGCTTGATCGAATCAAAGACAGGCCCGACGTCCAGGCTTCTCCCATAGATGTCGTCTTCTGGGTTGGAGAATCCCAGTCTGACGCCCTCTTGAACCATCCAGACCTCATTCATGGGGAACCCGTAAACCTTGATGATGTCCATGGCGAAGTTGGTGTGAGTCTGTGAGATGTCAGTGATTTGGAAATAATTCGTATATAATTAGGCTAGGTTTTGGAGCTTTTCCCACGGTGTTCCGTCACCCTTTGTGCTTCGTCCCAAAGCCGCCCTCGAGAGAGGCGTTGCATACCTCCAGATCTCGTCATTTTCGCAGCGTGCCAGAGAGTTTTTTTGCACGACGCCGCGCTCGCGCTTCTGCCTCAGCGAAGCCGGTCGTTGTTGTAGGGCCCCACTTATTTACCCGATCGTCACGAAAACGGTCACCCTCAATTGATTTCTTCACGTGAATTATTTGTCATCAATGGAATTTAGTATTTCTCTATGTTGGCTCAGGTGTGTTCAATTGCTTTCCGAGCAAGGCCAGGCTGCGTGGAGGGTGTTCGGTGCTGCAAATTTCACAAGTCCAGATCTCAAGCCATTCAAACTTGGCTCATTGATTTTTTGGCTGATCGGTATTCTTTTGACTTCAAAACAGTGCAGCCGATTTTTATGTACATCTGTTTACACCACTCCATCTGGTATTAGTCATCAACCCAATGTCTCCTGCAAGCCTCGCTGCTTCACTATGATAAAGCCAGGATGAAGCCATGGTTGTTGTGCTTCAACTTTCTTATTACTAATAAAAATTTGACTGTTTCCCAAGCAGTGTGATGACGAAAGACAAGCGCTTGCACAAATGTAGAGTGAAAATATTCAAATCACAGGCAGAAAATTATTAAATTGCCACCCAACTTCCGTGGAACGGGGCCCTCAATGACCATGCACATTCTTAAGTTGTATTATTGATCAAAAGCTGCAAGTGAGCACTGAGCATGATGAGGAGAGACAAGCGCTTGCACAAATGTAGAGAAAAAATATTCAAATCCCACCCATTTTTTTCCATGCCACCCAATGGCACTTCCGCAGAAAGCAGCCCTCCGAACAGCCCATGATGTTGTGCCTCTGTTTGCATTCTTATTGCTAATCAAAAGCTGCAAGGAGCTGAGCGGAGTGAAGCACCGCGCTAGTATTAAGAATTTGGATTTATTTGGGCCTTTTTTTTAATGTTTGCTCATTTCTTGCATGAGTATGCCTCAACTGTACAAATCAAATCTGTCTATGAAGGTGTGAGTACCCTTGTCGTACTCATTGAAAGTAAAGGCAGCCGACTGAATGCGCCTCTCCACACAGAGCTCTCAGCATGCACGCTCGATCTTTTGTCTACTCTGTGTCCGCATTACAACACAATAAATATATGCTTTGCACCTGAACAACCAGTCCTAGAAGCCGAGCACAAGCTTGCCTTTGGCTTCCAGTCTCTCTCCCGTCATTCCCTTATGGTCGTTCTCAGCCCGGGGACGTCCGTAGGGCGCTGGTGGTCCAGAAAACCACTTTTGGACGTGTGCAGTAGTAGTACACGTGGAATATCTGTCTTGCTTTGTAAAAAGATGATGCTAGTTTGACATGGTGAGTCGAGAGCGACAAGAGCATGAGCAAAAGGGAAACATACGCTGAGCGGCCGATATAGGGGAGAGCTCTCTACTCTCAGCTTTTCTATCCAGGGCGGCGCTTGTTTCAACCCTCGCAAGATTTTCAGCAAGTCTCCGTCCACCGAAGCATACATGGCGGGTCTCATTGGAGGAAGGTTTGCCAGCTGTAGAAACTCTTCCAGGCGACGCTCCAATTTCGGGGTGCGAGGTGCCTTCCAAATCTGGTATGGAATTTCCCAAAAAAGTATGGCGAATTCGTCACCGATGTAAACGCAATTCATGAGGAGCCCTTTGATGCCACTCCTTTCCCTGATCGCTTCAAAGACAGGCTCAATGTCGAACTTTTCCCCATAGACATCGTCTTCTGGGTTGGATAATCCCAGTCTGACGCCCTCTTGTACCATCCAGACCTCATTCATGGGGAACCCATAAATCTTGATGATGTCCATGGCGTTGAGATGAGAGTTGAGTCTGGTGACATGTTGATGTTGAAATGGTAATTTTATTTGGATTTATTTGTGCCCTTTCAAAGGCCTCTCTTCGTTTGCTCTTCGTTCGTTTCTTACTCACTTCTGGTCCATATTTGTGTGCCCGTCTGGTCGGTGCTGTTCTCCTTCAACTCATTACCCCTCCCCACCTGTCAATCTCACCAGGTATAGGACCACCACTTCCTTCGTCGCCTCAGCAGATTAAGTACAGTTATTTCCCTTGATTTAAGCCAATGAATGTTAAATTCGGTAAATTGCGCCCATCACCAGATTCTGATATCTGTGAGAAATCACTTGCTTATTCGTCCCTGCTTCGTCTGTTCGACGAGTCCCTTGTCCCCTCTCAGATACCTAAAGCCTCAGAAATACTTCCCTGTCATGTCCTTGCCCGCCTTTCGTCTGTTCCGTGCTTTTTTAGTTATGCCTGGGCAGAGTAAGTGAGTAAACACGTCGTCTTTTACATGCGCTGAACTGACGACTTCTCGTGTTGCGACCAATCTCACTTCCCGTAAAGCCAGATGATCATTCTCGAGTCTCGCCTCCCCTAATCTATCTAGGAGATTCATCGGTAGGGTCTCTCCAACATGGCTACTCGTGGGCCGTCGCCCAGCCTCGTCTCCTGCTAGGCTAAACAACACAAGACCGCCGTTCCTCAACCTCCGCCACCACAATCGCGTTCCATCATGCCCAACCTACTCTTTCACAAACAACTGACGACGCGTCGGAGACCTCACCTCTATTCCAATGGGAAACCCATCTCCCAATGCTGGCACGATACCTTGCGTGCTTTTCCAACTTTTTCACCAACTCACCACAACAAGACCTATGCTCACCGTCTTCCTCCCCCTTTCATTGAACAAACTCGTCACTGGGCTAACTACCACAGGCATGGCATCTTCTCCGACTCTGACAGCGTCATTCACGGCGTTGGCTACGGTATGTGTTTCTTTTTCCCTCCATCTTGAGCTTTTCGATGATAATTATCGCTTTAAGTGGCTCGTCGCACTCTCCTTCCTCTTTCCAACAGCCAACTATGCCTCTCCTCTTGTCATTGAGCTCCGTCGTGGTTCTCCGTGACGTCTGTGACTTTGTCCACTTCAAGTTCAAGATTGGCGCCTTCAATTGCAGGATGTCCACGTCTTTGGCCACCACACCGACATTCACATTCCCTTACCGAGTTCATTCACCGTGCTGAGGTAACCTGCCCCCTTGCAAATCGTGTGTCTAACATTGTCTCTAGAACGCCGCCATCACCACTCGTGCTTCTGATCCAAGGTGGTTTCACCGGCACGTTCCTCTTTGTCCATTTGCCTGGTCTGTTCTTTTCACAAGCTCATCAATTGTGTCCGTGCTTGTGGAGAGTCTCGTCTCAGACTGGAGGGTGGTGAATTGGGCATTGTATCAATAGGCACTTCGTAGAAATATATTGCTCGAGGATGATGTATGTATACATAGATTCATGGAATGCTACCCTTTCATTTGAGCCTTCCAGATGCCAGGCCTATTTTTGAATGCCAGGGTACTGTTCTCTGTCAATCTCGCACCAGGAGATTGGGAACCAGGGAAGTGACTGGCCCCGATGAACACCGGTGACCAAGCGGTGACCCTTGAATCAACCAGCTCATCGGGTGTAGCTCTAAATTGAACCAGTTGGCATCAAGGGTTCTTAAATCCAATAAATTGAACCAGAATTAAGCTAAATTGAACCCACATAAGCACTTATCTTCACTTATGTGTTCAACTTTCACTTATTTTGAGGTATATGAGCTATTCCTAGCTATTCTTTGCTCACTCCTGTGCTCAAGTTTCGAAATACATGTTATCTTAACATATCCTATGCATGTACAGCAAGTAGATATTTTTTGCAAGGATGGAGATGGTGATGAGGCTCACCTCATGAGGATGAGGAATGCCGACGCGTCGACACATTTGGGTCATGTGATCTAAAATGTGCCTTCATTGATGGAAACACGACGTCTGCGTCGACCACTGTCCTGTCCGCCTAACAGCAAGCCCACAACGCCTTTCGTTGGCCCACCCAGACTGCACTGCACAAAGCACCAACTTTGAATTTGAACACCTTCCCTCGTTGTCATTCCTATTCTGCACTTCTTTTGGCTATTATCAAGCAATTCAACCATGCCAATTCACCACTGTCTCACTTTCTCCGACATCGTCTACCTCAACCACCACGATGGGTGTTCCTGGGATCTCTAAAGTAAGAGACTTTTCAACTTGACTGCTGACCTCGAAGTTGAAATACTCTAGATTTTGGAGCTGGCTCGGCGTGTGCAAACTCTGACTGAGTTTGCAACAAAGGAAGGCTTTCAGCTGAATCCACACGGCGACAACATGGTTCGTGTTGGCGTCGATGTAAGGTATGGTTTTCTTTTTCTTTCTTCATTCTTAACCAAGGCTGATCATATATCTCTGTCCTAGTGTCTGGATCTGCCAAGCTCAAGCCGCTGTGCACTCCATGCCTAGGACACAACAGGGCGAAAATCCAGCCCTCCGCATCATTTTTTTCCGCATCTGCCACCTCCTAGCTCAGTCTATCCAACCCATTTTCATTGCGGATGGTCCCAATCGCCCTCGTGTTAAACGTGGAGTAAATGTCAGGGCCGACAAGCCACACTGGATGGAAGCTTACGTCAAGGATTTTGTTCAAGAAGCTGGGTGCCCCATGTATCACGTGCGTAGTTCTTTTACAGCATCCTTCTGATTCTTTTCATTGACTCTCTTTAGGCTCCAGGAGAGGCTGAGGCTGAGTTGGCTCAGCTGACAGCACATGGCCTCATCAAGGCTGTTCTCACCACCGACTTCGATGTGTTCCTCTTTGGGGGCACATACATGATTAAACCGTAAGCTAATCCTTTCGTTAAGTCAGCCATTTCCTAATCTTAATACATTTCTAGCCCCAACGTAAAAACCGATGGAGACAGGATCACATACTACACGTCTGATGGCATTCAAGCACAGACATCCCTCACGTGCGCCAAGTTAATCTTCATCGCTATTCTCAGTGGCGGCGACTATGACCAGGTGCGTTATCATGGTGGTTGTTTGTGTCTTGCTTACTGACCACTCGTCTAGGTTGGCCTCCCCGGGTGTGGTCTCAAGATCGCTCATCAACTGGCTCAGGGGGAACTCGCCGACTTACTTTTCACAGCCGCCACCACGCTCCCTCAACATGATCTTGAAGACTTTCTTCGTGATTGGCGCAACAAGCTCGCGAATGAGCTACTTCGTGATCCACATGGTCTAATGAACGCGAAACACCCTAAACTAGCCCAAAACATTCCTTCGGACTTCCCCAAGTTCGACACCCTCCAGTTGTACATCTCTCCAGTCACCTCTTGGTCAGAGAATGGCAAGGGCCCTGATACCACATCATGGGCTCTCTGCCAACTCAATCTAGCTAAGCTTGCAGTCCTCTGCGAGAAATCTTTTTCGTGGGGATCTGCTGGCGTCATCAATGAGCGCTTCCAAAAGAATGTATGGCCGGCAGCCGTCATGCGAATGCTGCTTAAGGTAAGTCACCTCCAATCTCTCCTGAATGGGATACTGATGACCCTACAGCCTGTTGACACTCCTGGAGCAGTCGACGAGCAACTCTCACACTTGTCCCTGCTTCATATTCGGCAGAAGAAGCTTGGACCCGGTGGCCCAGCTACAGGTGCAAACGTGGACGGCTTCTCTGTCGAGACAGCCTCATTGGCTCTTGCCCGTGAAACGGCCTCCAGCCTTGACGAGAATATTCGCAAAAAGACACTTCAGCAAATGCGGGAGCCTTTCTACCCGTGGATTCCATCGCGGATTCTCAAACAAAAGGTTCCCGATCTCACAAATGAGTTCGGCGCACGCACGCGTAAGAAAACGAAACGTTGCCAGCAGCAGCAGATCATAACAGACTCAGTACATATACTCTAGCCCTTTGCTCTTCCATCATAACTAACATTCTATGATAAGGATGATGGAGTTGTTATGACTGCTGCAGCCACTGCCGATGTCATCGCGTCGACCTCTCAAATGACCTGTGCTCCCGATGCCATGCCCTCAAGCTCTGGCATGGCCCTCGCTGCTGCTGCAGGGTCATCTTTGAACCCAATTGCCATTGACGAGGATGAATCGAAGGGTGGTTTCCTTGGTTTTATTGATCTAATGTAGTCCAAAGTTCAAAATGTAGCTGAAACCGTAGCCAAAACTGTAGTTTTATTGTACCGAATTGTATATGGACATTTCCCCAATCAGTTGTAGCTTATGGACCCACAGAGTGAGCTAACTCGGGTTCCTGGCAAGGAACAGACAAAGGTGATCAACGGTGAACTTGTAAGCTGAAACATGGGACGGATATTGGAGTACATTTGTGAAATTGACATTATTCATTCTATCCTACTCGACCATGGGCCGGAGGGCACGTACAAAAGTATCTGGAGCTGCCAACGTAGCAACTACAAAAGTAACTGAAGTCTCCAATGCTCCAAAGCCGAAGCGCGCATCAAGGAAGCCTTGCGTAAAGGCGGCACCACTCGCATCACTGCAGGAAACCCAAAATGTGGAGGTGAAGGAAGCTACTGCAGTGAAGAACACGGATAATGCCTATGAGGGTCACTTGGACAGAGGAATGAGGTTCTTGGCAACTTTGATTGAGGAGAGGCGAGAGAGAGGTGAAGATATTTGCAATGAAGGCATCTCGACGGACGAGTTTGAAAAGGCATTCGACAAACCTCCAAACAAATATTCTGTGATGGCTATTGAGATGTTCATCGTGCAAAAGTGCTTCATGCAGAAGCTGGGAAAAGATACCGGCTATGGGATCCAGGGCGCGTTCGCAAGGTACTGGGATACGATGTAAGCATAATATCACATTAATCAATAAAACTCTATCCTGACGTACCTATAAGGGATGGTGACAAGTACGCGGGCAATTACCAGTTCGACGACAAGACAGGAGAAGTGAAGGGTTGCCCTGCTCGTGCCCCAGCTGTCATGGCGGTTCTGCATGCAGTGAAAGTGAGAGCTGCTGAGAAGGGCCATGCAGCAGTCCGCAACCATGCCGAGGCGATAACAATAGAAGAGGTTAAAAAGATTATGGAATGGTCAGAGAAAACGTGCCCCGATGATTTGCTCACCTTGCCTGTTGAAGATCTTGAAACCTTGATGTTCCACGCTGAGCACGCACTCATGCGAGCATTCATTAGCTCAGCATTTACACTGTGGACAAGGTCTGTGGCTATTCTCAATCTCCATTGATGGTTACTTGCTCAGAGTTTTCATAACGGTAATAGGTGCTTTGAGTTGCTCACCTTGCAATACCGGGACATAAAGAATGATTGTGTCGGGCCTGCACCTTACTACATCCCACACTTCAAAGTTGTCCTCGAAAATAGGAAGGGGTGGCAACATGCTAAGGGCTATGATGGACCATGGACTGGTGAGTAGACTCGAACCATATCTGCTCCCTGGTGGCTCACCAGGCTGATTTCTGCTCCAGGAAATATCTATGATATTTATCGTCAGGACATCCCTGCAATTGATATGAATTCACACCTTCCAAAGTGGTGCGCTTATCTCCAGAAGCTTCAACCCAACCGGAAAGTTGAAGCCGACGATTATCTATTTCCCTACATCGCGCCAAACGGATTGATCCACCCTAAATGTGACATGAGTTATGATCTCCTGCAAGGGTTACTCACCAAGTTTGCGGCGGCTGCTGGACTTGAAAAGCACTATATGACACACTGCTTTCGACGTGGAGGTGCACAGTACAGGTTTATGTTTGCACCTATCGGAAAGCGATGGCCGTTGAGCTGGATCCGATGGTGGGGTGGATGGGCGATTGGGGAGCACGTAAGTACGCATGGCTTTAAGAGCAAGCTGGGTTGTTCACACGAACTGTCAAGGTCGACACATTGATGAAATATCTACTCGACTCACTCCAAAGCTTTGAGACAGGGCATGGCAATGTGTTGCATCCGATCCCCCTTGGTGCAGACCAGAGCTTCATGGGAGAACACCTTGCAATGCAACTAGTGCTTGGAAGTTAGGTTAATTAACTGGAAAATAACCGAGACCAGACCGGACCTAACTGCAAAAAAACCGGACTGCGGTTAGTGGTTAGTCAATTCTGGAAATGAAATAACCGGTTATTTTGCAGTTAACTAACCGTTAAAAAACCGGTTATGACCGGTTACAACCGACCCTATTTTACCCCTTCAAAACGCATCTAAAAGTATGAGAAACGCTAAAAATCTGACAGAGTTATGGTCAAATCTCTAAATTATTGGCTAAAATAGTAGGCTTTCAAGAATATTATTATAAAATTGTCAATTCTTCACCGAATTTAGCGTTCTTGGGCTTGTTTTAAAGCTACGACGCATGGCAATAATGTTTACTGCAAGGAATATGAGAAATATACGCCGTTTTAATCGATTTTCTATTTTTTCGGTCCTAACCGGTTAGTAACTGCAACTAACCGGTTTTCATCGGTTATCTTCGGTCCAGTTAGGTTATTTTGGGTCTGGGAACGAACCCTAACCGGTCTCGGTCTCGGTTAGAGCCCCTGGGCACCCAATGACCTAACCTAACCGGACTTTCAAACACTAAACGCAACCTGCATCGGGTGAGCAGGTCCAGCAGATCAGTGAGCGTGTCGACCGCAAGCTGGATGAGATGATGAGAACAATCACCACCACTCTCAGCTCCTGCGCCGAGCATGCGCCAGACATTCCAAATCCGTCGATTTCATTCACTGGACCTGAATGTGTGTCGCATACGCACTTGCGAGCATCAAGGGCCGTTTCCGTGCCCTACACTTTGCCCAACATCACAGAGTCCACCAATGCCAGCCGTGAAACCTCACCTTCCGAGAGGGGAACATCAGAACCCGCCACAGTCATATCACCTAGGTTTCGACGCTACAACTTTGCAATTCCTGATCTCGGAAGAGCTCCCGGTGCATGGCAAAGAGCCATCAAACAATGGGAGGAGGTTGATCCTATCACGAATCACGCACTGAGGGACTGGCCAAAGGAATGGTACGAGGGCAACAGTGCCACGGCAAGCAAGCGGAACCAGCGAAAGACAATATTTGAGGAATATGTTAGGTATGCTGCTCCAAACAAGGGGGTGCCGGCATTGAAAAAAAAGACCTGGGGTCGATTTTTTTTTAAAGGCGACTTGAGATGGACTAACTAACTAACGTAATCAGGAACATGTCTATATATAGTAATATGACATCATTTGTGAGTGCTTCCCCTGTGTCTTGCACAAGTCATGCAGGCAAAATTTCGGGGTGCTTGCACATGTTCCACACATTTTAGATGGAACTAGGCAAATAACGTGAGTTGGAAAATCACTCAGTTCTCATAATACAATGTACTTACCCAGTGTGTCTCGCACACCTTGTTTGCATATGAGGATTTGATGAGGATACACAGCTACCACAGATTGCGAAGCCCTCCGCATCAAGGGCAGGTGGCTCCGTCTCAATGGTGTGATACATAGAATGTGTGAAATCAATGTTAGACATACTGTAGATTTTTTGGTCAATGGTAATTCAAGTAATGTCAAAAAAATGCCCAAATATGGCAGGAATTAATGAATATCTTATATCACGGTGCTTGATGGCCTCTATTTGAGCTGTATTCCTCCCAGTACATTCTGTAGTTACCATATTATGCTGCAAGGTACTCAACTTGATGATTGAAGGCCTTCTGCCCAAGGCATCCTTTTTTTTTTTTCACAGCCTGCGGCTGGACTAACTAACCGGGTCCCGGTACGGGATTCCCGGGACGGCACCCCCTTGGCTCCAAATTCCAATTGTGGCGCACTGATAGATTCGGTTTTCTTGATCAGTTTGGGCTGGGACAAGAACAGGTTCATTAGCAAGTACCCAGACGCTGACAAGAGCATTTCGAAGCTCTTGGAAGCCATCAGATGGAACAATGGCACCACGCGTTCCAGCAAATACGGGACAGCGAGCGAGCGCAAATCCAAGTCCCCCGCCGAAAGTTCTGAGCGCGCCGCAAGCCAAAATGAAATGGTTGTAGACTGAACAAAAAAGACCTCCTGTAGTGGGGAAAGGAGGGGGTATATTATCAGCTTTTAATGTCTAAACTCCGTAGGTATTTGTCTCATAAAAGTCGCCACTTTTCGTACAATCGTTTCACATCGTTCAAGAGGAAGCAGTACCTCTCTTGTGGACACTACGAGACCTCAATAAGCAGGTAAACAAAAATTTCGGAAGCCGATTATTATTATCTGAAAGACCCAAGCGCAAAACGGGTGGTCCTTCGTTCCGCCGCGTTGAAAAGGAGAGGGGAGGAGAAGGGGGAGCGCTGTGGGAAGCGCGCGCCTACAGCACGTGATTGGACCCTGAGCTTCCCCATTTGGGCTGAATCCGGGGAATCCTCTTAAATTCGACGACATAAGTACTAGACGATATCGGTGACGGGCAGGAGCGCGTGTGGGGACTGGAAGTGGGATAATGACCGTGACAGAGTCTTGGAGATGAGGACAAATGACAGCACGAGGTTGGAAAGAGTGAAGCGGTAAGGACGACAAAGTAGGCATAGTGAAAGATACAAGGAAGAAACTTCGAGAACAGGACATATGGACACGGCAAAGATCGAAAGTCTCGGACATCTGCAGCAAGATAAACGAAGGATGTCATTAACAAGGCACAACGAGAGAGGCGAACACAGAAGGAATCGTACAAAGAGGGATGGCTTTCAATGAAGCCGCAAACCAGTTCATCTGATGATCCTGATCATCGCCATAAGTATTTTACAAACTAACACGGAAATTTTGAAAATAAATGTCATATGAGAGGGATGGTGGCGTAGTAATGTCATGTTTCTGCCTTGCCAATGACAGACCAGTCATTCTACCCAAGATAAGGAGACAGAGGTTTTGCATCAGGAAAACGCTTTGAGTTTGATCGTTCTCAGCCCAGGTAAGACGTCCGCTGGCACTACTTTGGTGGTCCCGAAAACCACTTTTGGATGTGTGCAGTAATAGTACGCGCGGGGTGTCTGTCTTGCTTTGTCAAGACATGATCCTAGTTTAACATGATAAGTCGGGAGCGGCAAGAGCACGAGCAGAAGGGAAACATACGTTGACCTTGGGCGGCCGATACAATGGAGAGCTCTCTACCCTCAGCTTTTCTATCCAGGGCGGCGCTTGATCCACCCCTCGCAAAATCCTCGGCAAGTCTCCTTCCACCGCAGCATACATGGCGGGTTTCATTAGAGGGACGTTTGCCAGCCGAAGGAACGCTTCCAGACGACGCTCCAACTTCGGGGTGCGAGGTGGCTTCCAGATCTGGTATGGAATTTCCCAGAAAAGTATGTCGAGTTGGTCACCGACGTAAACGCAATTCATGTGGAGCCCTTTAATGCCACTCCTTTCCATGATCAAGTAAAAGACAGGCGTAACGTCGAGCTCTTCCCCACAGACATCGTCTTCTGGGTTGGAGAATCCCAGTCTGACGCACTCTTGGACCATCCAGGCCTCATTCATGGGGAACCCGTAAACCTTGATGATGTCCATGGCGTTGAGATGAGAGGTGGCAACATCAGAAATGGTGATGTTGAATAAACGTTGAACGTTGAGTATTTGATTTATTTATGTGAATTTGTGCCTGTCTTCTTCGATTCCATCATCGGTGCGAAAGCATTGAACTTTCGAGTTTTGGCGTGATGAGCGTGAAGCCAGGACCAAGCAACCCCGGTAAGCTCGTTCTCGAACCCATGGAATCATCAATTCACCTGCTACCAAATAGTTATGATTGACTCTTAGGCGACTCTGTCCCCATTGCCAGGTCACTCGATGTTTCTCTTACCGTCTCTCCAGCCCCACTACGAGTAATTGCAGGCTTGCGCCAATCCGGCAAGACACTCAAACGCCATGGATAGCCACTCCCAATACCATACCTCCGTCCCCAAACCAGCTGCTGCCTCCTCCACCTCCTGCTACACAGTCATGCCTTAGCTCTGCTGGCACCTCTGCCTCCAGATATGCGCAACTTCTACCCGATTTTTTCAAGACCTTCCAGCCCTAGGAGCCTAGTTGCTCAGGCTTGGCAGGTTTAAGTCCCAAAACTAGGGGTGTCAACAAGGTGTCAGTGCGAGGATGTGTCAGTCTCGACCTGGATGCCCAAATGAATATCACTGCCATCACAGCCGCATGTGCCAGTGATGACCGGCAGCTTTTTCATAGCCGCGCACCGGCGGGATGAATCTCGACCTAGACGTACTCAGTTTGGGTTGACGTTAAACGCTAACAAGATCCCAGTGGCGCATTCGCAGGGAAAGTTGCCATCGGGGAAGGCAGCGTTGTTACTATTGCTTCAGAAGCAGCAGCTTCAAACGGAGGAGGAGGGACTGGGTCGCCGGGACGAAACCCGTTCAGCAATTGGAAGTGCCATCGAACATCAGGGAGGTGCAGCTGTGCAGGTCGGGTCGAGGCTGTGTTTGAGGGCTGATGCGCTGAACGTAAAGGTATGCATCTTTCTTTATGTATGCGTCTCTTCTTATCCTTTTCCCTTCTTCATTTTTTCAATGCGACTTTTATATCTTTCTTTATTTCCCTCACTCTAATTCCCTTTTCATCTTGTGAGCATCGCTAACGACTCATTCATGCTACTAGAACCCAAGAAGGCATCTGATGTAGTAGCGCTCCATCACCTGTCGGTCCTGTCCCTCCCCAAGTCAAGGAAATGTCGATATGCCCACAGATTGAAGTATGATCGTGATCAATTACATGACTGGAAGTCCTAATCATATTAAAGGGACGAATACTGCTAACAAAGAACAACTACCTATTGTACTTGACGGGTTCTGAACCCGATGGAATGTCATCCAAAAACCCGGCAGAGGGAGTAACGTGTACCAAATGATGGCCTTTGAAGTGTTCAACCTGGGTATCATATTTGCCCGGTGATTTCATCTCCGTGAGGGACTTGTATTCACAACTCTCCAGCAGCATACTGGGTATCTCCAGCTGGACAATCTGGCACAGATTGGAGTATGGCAGACCTGCTGGCCTTCCGAACCTGATCCATTCCGGTTTCTGGAATTTCTTGTTTTTGATGCTTGGAATCAATGACCAAACCGAAGTGACCTCAACATGTAACCGAGCAGGTAGACATGCATTCTCTCCAAAAAACTCAAGCTCCACGCTTGGGAGGATATCAAGAAGCTCTTTGCCATCCTCTTGTTCGTATGGGTCATCAACGTTAAACCCCCACCAAACGACACCGTTCCTGTCACCCTGGGTAATCCGTGATCCATAATTTCTCATCTCCAGGGATGACGAAGACTCTGCTCCCAGATGTCCGGAAAACTTTGCATTGATGGGTGGTGAACCAAGCCCCGCAGAGCCCAAGAAGCTGAGTGCAGAGCTGCTCTGTCGAGTTGTAACTTCTGTGCTCTCGCGACCTCTTGCGGGGGTTCGAGAAGGTTTGATCGCATCAGCTCTTGTTAGACCCTCCTTGGCATCTATCAGCACTCTAGCGTAGATCTGCTTATAACCCGTGGTCGAAGATATTTCTCGGCGGCCTTGAAATTTCAACTTCTTGAATTCTACGCATGTCTTTGGGTGTCGTTTTGATTTTGAGTGTGGAGCATGAGACTTTTCGAGACATCAATCTTCTGTCAGGGAAAAGAGTATACAACTCACCTGTATAATAAGCCTCCCGTCGACTTGCAGTGTCTGGAAGACCTTCGGTGATACGGTGTTTACGGTATTAGCGTAGACCTGGGCTTGAACATCAAAGTAAATGACTGGCAACTCAGAGATCAGGCTACCGTCTGCCGGATCATCAGGATTTTCATCATCTGGATTGCCATCGTCGTCCTCGCGGTCCCCAGATTTCTCATCATCGCCTTCGTCATTCCCTGCATCATCTGTATCTTTCTTATCAGAATCACTACCTTTCGACTCGTTCCCGTTGAAATCAGAAGGAGCGGGCGTTTCACCGTCACTCCAAGAACCTTGCAGATGGGACACGACCTGAATCGAAGTCGGTGCAGCAACAGAACCGATACCAGCATATCCGAGTCGTTCTGTGTAAGAGTAGACGAGCTCGTCCCAGCTCAGAAGGCTTCCGTCATCTTTGAAAACAGGTATCTGGTACATGGAGGAGGGTGTGAAAAGTGCCCCAGGGAGCGGAGATAGTATCTCCCCGAGTTTGGTGACAAAGGCTTCAGCACTTTGAGCGATGTCCACGGAACAGAATACATGGATCTCTGATAGGTACCCTGTTCCCGACCGTATAAGGGCCTCATTGAAGCCAGCTAAGATGGCATACTCCGAGCTGGAAATATTGAAGTCACTAAAGGCTGCTTCAATGGCTATCTCCTTGCCCTGGATACTCTCGAGCGCTCTCTCCGCGCCTATGACGAAATGCTTGCCAGTTACAGACTCATCAGCTGGTGGTTTCGCCTCATCCTGAGTGTGTAGCTCCAAGCTGGAGGCGAATTTGACATTTTTGGATGTGTCGGATGTCGTGTAGATTACTGGTTCGCCACTCGTCATGCCGAGACGGGAGACAGTGGCTTCTTGGTGGGTGACGCGAGGAGAGGAACATGTTTCTTGGATTGTATCAGAAGTAGGTTCCAAATGGTCAGGCTTGAACCTCAACCGCGCCAACAAAACACTATCCCACTGGTCATTTTTCTGATGTGACACTTTGCATGCAGACTGGCATGGTATATTCCACGTCTCATCGTTGTAGAGTGGACCACCGCCTTCTTGTGTAACTTCGGCGTCTGTGGTGAATGTTCCCCATGGCTCACCCGTTTTAGGCGAGCCTGGGTAGACGCTGAAGTGGGCCTGGGGAAGGATGGCAGTTAGTGATGGAGGGAGGGGGGAAAAATTAACAACGTACATGTCCGTCTGGGTGACCGTGGCTAACGAACAAGGCGTAATTTGGCGCGCTAAGTGTTCCGACGACTACAGCGAAAATTAACCCCGTCAAGACAAAGAAGACATATATACGCACCAAAAAAAAGATCTTCTTTTTGTATATGATGCTGCATCCCATAAATATTCATAACGGAATCCACATTCGCCTGGAACCACTTCTTCGGCGCATTCAGCTGTTCAAGGTAACGATACTCTGTCGTCTCGGCGCACATAACCGCAATCTTATGGCCTGCTTTAAGACGGTAGGTATACCTACGGTTCACATTCTGTCTACAAGTCGCAAAAAAAAGGAAGTAAGCATCCCAACGAATGACCAAAACTAAGAAAGAAAGCAGAAAGAAAAAACTCACGAATCCCCTCTACTCCTCAACGTCAACAACCCCGCAAAAGGACCCGTAACAGCACCCAACACTTGCTGCACCCTACTCCTCTTATCCAGCTTCTGACTCCCCTCCTTTACTTGCCCGTACGCGTATATGGAGGGAAGACTGCGCACCATGCCGTGGTCCGATTTCTGGGGGCTGAAGGCGTTGAAGAGTGTGATGAATCGTCCTCGCGGCTTGGAGAGGTATCCTACTGCGCCAAGGTCGACAGGAGATGGGTCCCATAGGGGTAATGTGACTACCAGAAAAGTAGTGAGGGACACATCATTCCATTTATGGACAGACTCACGCGAAGCATGATACTCATGCGTCAAAAGAAACCGATATCTCCGCTCATTCCTCATCTCCGCAATATGCTCATCTCCCGGGGGTGGTGACTCGTACCCGTCAAACTCCTCCATCACGATATTGTCTTCGTCCTTGAACGACGACGACCCGTCGGACGGAGAGAGGAAGAGGGAGGAGGAACGACTGAATTGGGCGGATGTCGTGTAGGTTACTGGTTCGCCGCTCGTCATGCCGACGGTGGCTTCTTGGTGGGTAATGCTGGGAGAGGAGGGTGTTTCTTGGATTGTATCCAGAGTTGAGAATCCAAGTGGGAGGTTGTGGACTGAGATAATGCAGTGTCTAATACTATCGTCAAGAAAAAGAGTGAAGGGACTGACTAGAAGGCAGCTCAACAGGCCGCATATCAGGCGAAGGCGAATGGGGTACAACCTCCTCAAGTGGGGGCAATCCCTGTATCTTTGGCGACTCCAAATCAACATGTCCAGCATTCCTCCTAATCTGTTTTATATCCCGGACAATCTTGGAGAACGGCGGGCGGAGGGTCGGATCGCGGTGCCAACAGATGCGCAGGAGCTCTTGTACCCGCAGTGGATTGGTGAAGCGTGAGTCGTGGTGGTGCGGACTTGGACGGCTGTTTTTATCTGAATGGATGTGGAAAGGTTATATTATAGACAGAAAGAGGAAGAAAAGACGCACCAAGGACGAGATGACGAACGAATTCGTCGTCTTGCAGCGGCCAAGGCATTCGACCCATGCTCAAGATCTCAATGCAACAGATGGCGAACGCATACACGTCCATCTCAGCCGTCAACCGACTCTGGCCTAACAAAAGTTCGGGTGCTTGCCATCTCAAAGTCCCATCTACGAAACCATTCAATGAACCACCAAAATAAACCAAAGGGAAAGACGTACGAAGAGGCGTCCCACTAATCTTAAGAACCTCCGACTTCATCTCGCTCTGTGCAAAATCCGAAACGACACAATGAATGTTATCATCGACCAACACGTTTGCAGCCTTCAAGTCGCCATGCAACACCCCATGAGAGTGTAGGTACTCCATCCCCTCTGCGATCTCATACATGAACCGAAAGAGATCCCATTCCCTGGATAGGTCCCCAATCTGTCCAGCAGGAATCGTTCCCCTCGAGTGGGCCATCAACATCCCGTCCCCAACGCCACTCGGACTGCTACCAAAGGTCCCACTACCACTACCATCTCCAAGTCCAGGAGAAGGTATCGTCGACCCTCCACCACTCATCCAGTCCATTTCAACCCTCTTCAAAAACTCCACCAAGTTCCCATTCTTCATATAGGGACTAACAAAAAACCACGGGGCCTCCCCACTCGCCCCATAAAGCTGCAAGACATTCGGGTGTCTCAGATCTTTCCACCTCTCGATCTCCCGAACGAACAACTTCCTAGACGTGGTTTTGGCAAGGGCTTTAACGGCAACCGTCCGACCCCTCCAAGTCCCTTTATACACATCGCTAAAGAACCCAACGCCGATCTTGGATTCGGGGTCGATTTCATATTTGGTTATCGTCCAGCTAGGTAGGTCAGTTTCCATCCCATGACTCATTCGTCTCAGCGCGTTGATCCCGCTTTTGATGAATTCGCGGTCGAGTGTGTCTTTCATCACTTTCCCTCCCCCTCCCCCTCCCCGAGCCGTGCTACTCGAGCTAGCACCAGGACTCTCGAAGTTCAAATCAGCCTCTGCATAATCAACCTCCTCACCAACCCCATCATCCAAATTATCTTCCATGCCCACGACACGCTCGAGGGCACGCTGGAGCGTCTTGATCGCATCCGGCATCTCCTGTCTTCCAATTTGGAGCACCCGGAGCATCTGCGCGTCGCTGGTCGTTAGTAGGGCTGCACGTATGACCTGGCGCAGATCATGCATATCGTTAGCTGCATCGATAGAATTCTGCGCCTTGTGGTAGCTCTGGAGTGTTGGGAGGACTTGGGAAGGCGGGAGGTCGGGGGTAGCGGTGAAGTGGGTCACGGCTGTTTCCTTTTCGAGGAGGGAATCGTGATGTTCGGGCTCTTCTGTGAGGAGGAGAGCGGTGGATGGGGCATGGTCCCGGCTGGAAAGGATGGCAGAGAGGACTTGTGGGGCGTCCTTTGCGTGTTGCCCTTGTGCTTCGGAGACTTGTTTGAGGATCCGGATTTGGATTGATAGCTGCAGAGGGTTTGGTAAGCGAGTGGGTTAGTCAAGATTGTTGAGGGAGGGAGAGAGCTTACGCTGAACATGCCCAATGCGTCTCGTAAATTAGCATCGCACCCTTCGATCTCTTTCATGATGTCGTTCCGTTTGAGGTATCGCTTCAAGAAAGGACGGTGGATTTGGCGTTGAAGGAAAGTGTAGACATTGCTGAATGACCTTTCTCACTGCATTGGCATGAAAAAAGCGTGATGATGAACCAACTCACTCTTCTAGTCGAGCAATGGGAGCAGCCAATTCCTGACCGACAACATCACCAGCATCGAAGATATCTTGACGTACAGCAAGTAGAGTTTCAGCACATCGTTCCGTAAGTCTCAAGCACCCCAAACGGTTCATCTGCACATCATTTTAATCTCAATTCCCCCTACGCCAGAAAAAAAGAGAGAGAGAACTCACATCAACCTGCTCAACAGCATCCCAGATATTTAACAACGTCTCCGCCGCAGCTTGCAACCCTGGTATAGGCGCAAACTCCAGCAACTCAACGCGAAGGCCGAGAAGCTCATGCGTCACATAGCCCGCAGTGCCCAAAACCGATTGTGCAGCTTGTGCAACTTTCTATGGTAAGTACCGTAAGTTGAGTTGATGAGTCATCCATCAGTTCATGATCTTATCTTATCTCAGCTCACCGTTCTAGTACGATCCCAACTCGCCGTCTGCTCCGGAATCACAGACTTCTTCTGTTTAGGTGAGTCCTTCCACGGGCGATAGGCATGCTCTGAGCTTCCCTTCCACCATGACGAGGCAAGCTGAGAAGAGGGGGAGCTGGGTCGGGCTAGGGCGAGAACATCTCTGTTTGGGGAACGTGAACGCGAATGATCGCGGAACGTTGAGGGCATGAAGTCTAATATTTCTGGGAGGGGTAGGGAGGGGGAGGAGGTAGGGTGGGCGTCATTGTGTACAAAGGATTCGTCTTTGCCATCGTCCTCTGTTGTTGAGAGTGTGAGAGACGCTTTGGTAGGTGTTGACGTGAGAGGGTCGGAGGAAGTACGTGGTGTGAAGTCGGTTTGAGGAGGAGAAGTCAACGATGATCGAGAAGAGGTAGGTGGCATGAGTCGTCGTAGGTCGTGAAAGTAAGCGAGTAGTAGACGAAAAGAGGAAAGTGGCAGTCATTGCCGCTCGCACTGCAGTCTACTGCAGTATGGATGCAAAGACTTCCCACGGCGATTAGACGCGCGATCAGGACGAGATTATGACTCGGATTTTTTCTACAAGCATGCCTTGTTTTGCCCTAATCAATGTTTCCTCAGCTTGCAATCAACGCGCCTCTCCATACAGAGCTCTCATGCAAGCTCGATTTTTTGTATGTTATGTGCCCGACATTTACGATGCGATATATATTCTTTTGTACCTGAACAACCAGTCAGGCTGCGAAGCCGACCTCGCGTCTCCATATTCTACAAACTATTACGGTAATTTTGAAAACAAAAGTGATACTCTACAGATGAGAGGGACAGTGACGTAGTAATGACATGACTCTGCCAAGTTGCCCAATGGCCGACCAGTCATTCTGCCCAAGATAAAGAGACAATCATCTACATCAGGAAAATGCTTTGAGTTTGTCGGCTGTCAGCCTCTCTCCCGTGATTCCCTCATGATCGTTCTGAGCCCGGGTAAGACGTCCGCTGAGGTTGGGCACTGGTGGTCCAGAAAACCACTTTTGGACGTGTGCAGTAGTAGTACGCGCGAGGTATCTGTCTTGCTTTGTAAAAAGATATTGCTAGTTTGGCATGGTGAGTTGAGAGCGGCAAGAGCACAAGCAAAACGAAAACACACACTGCGCGGCCGATACAGGGGAGAGCTCTCTACCCTCAGCCTTTCTATCCAAGGTGGCGCTTGTTTCAACCCTCGCAAGATCTTCGGCAAGTCTCCGTCCATCGAAGCATACATGGTGGGTCTCATTGGAGGAAGGTTTGCCAGCTGTAGGAACTCTTCCAGACGACGCTCCAATTTCGGGGTGCGAGGTGCCTTCCAAACCTGGTATGGAATTTCCCAGAATAGTATGTTGGGTCCGTCACCAACGTAAACGCAATTCATGTGGAGCCCTTTGATGCCACTCCGTTCCCTGATCGCTTCAAAGACAGGCTCAACGTCGAACTCTTCCGTATAGACATCGTCTTCTGGGTTGGAGAATCCCAGTCTGACGCACTCTTGAACCATCCAGACCTTATTCATGGGGAACCCGTAAGCCTTGATGATGTCCATGGCGTTGAGATGAGAGGTGGCAACATCATGATGTTGATGTTGAAATGGTAATTTTATTTGGGTTTATTTGTTGCCGCGTCGCACTGCGAGGAAATGGTTCCCGAAAAAGCCGCAAAATGAAAATGCTGGCTCAGCTCCACTTCTCAGCATCAAAATTCGAAAATTGCCTGTAAATCATTGCTTGCAATGCTCGTACCTCCACCACTTTTTATGCAGACATCAAGCGTATACATGGCATACCCGTTAATTACCATCAAGGGAGCGGCGTCGAAGAAGGTAGGTGGCACGAAGGCTCTTACCAAGGGAGAAAACCGTGCAGGGTCTAAGAAAGTCGCTGGTGCCCGCACTCCCAAATCTGCTAGTAAGGTAGTGGGCTCCAAGAAAGCTCAACCAAGCGAGGAAGAGGGGCGACAGGAACTTAGAAACCAGATAGCCTCTTATTTCGATTCAGCTAAACTTGTTATGTACGACCTGGCCTGGCAGCAGGGAAGTATAGGATTTCTTGGTTTCTTAGACTCCCTCTGACCAACTCTCCTTTTCGTATTTGCAAATCGGAATTGCACGTCACCCCTTGGCCGAACTCTAGGATATGGGGTGCTCTTTGACACAATGATAATCTCTGACAATTGAAGCAAGAATTCACAACATTCGCGGTGTCTTTTATGTGGTCAAACTCAAAGCATGATATATCATCGATCATCATTCCGTGTTATTGCAGTAGACCTCACTGAAATTGTTCAATCTCCCATCTAATCCTGTTTACGTCTTCCAACTTCATCATTTCAGCCTTTTCCTCGACCCCTACAGCATCCCATGCATTCGCTTTCAAGCTATCCGTTCGGTCGGTCCACCGATTTGGATTCGGTTTCGGGGTCCATCTAGATATTTCGTCCGCGCGGCGGGTTCTCGTCGCCGTGGGAGGCCTTGCTGCGATAACATATTCTTTATCCTTCCATTCTTGATCGAGGCGTGGCCACTGGTTGGATATAAATGGGTCGGCATATAGCTTGACGCTAATCATTCTAGTTTCCTGTGAATAACAAAATGTCGCCAGTTTATGGGACCATGGGTTTGGCCATGGAAATGTTGGAGGACGCTCATGGGAGGCAATCAAAGTGTTATCTGACAACTTATGAGACGATTGAAGGGGGTGAATTAGGAAGCTTGTTTCTCTTACCCATTACATCAATGTGGGTGCTGTCGGTACATAATTCCCCCCGTGAGTTCATAAAAAAGCGCTTGAAAATCAGATAAGGGAGTGATGTAAAACATCTTAAGACGACGCACTCTCGCATGGTTCCTATCACCATATTCGTACAGACATATTACATTTCCATCCTTGCTACTGTCGCCGCCGTGCAGCGCCCAGTAGTGTTTAGTTCCAGCAGCACGAATGCGAAAGTATCCGTTGGGGAAGCCACCCATGTTAAAAGGCATGCCGAGATTGAAATCGAAAGGAGAGGTGCTCATGATCTTCCATTCCATCGTTAGGATGTTAAATTTAGAGGTCTTGAAATGAATAACTACCTGAGGATGTCCTACATATATCACTAGATTTTTCTCTCCATTAGGTGTGCTGAGAAAGGATGATGGTATTGTTCACGAAGAGGGAGAACAGCACTCACAAGAGGTTTTGTAAATCCTGCAAAGACGAACCAGAGAGGTCGTTGACAGTAATATTGACATTTGAGCCTGCCATTTTTCGATGAATCAGGTACTCAGAACTCCACGAGAGAAGTGTCACTGCTGACTTGCAGTAAATACGCCGTTTGCTTCGGTTGTGTTCGTAGCGCTCTCGGTATTGGGACCATCTTCAGCTCGCAAGTTCATGACGCACTTCGTCGGAGAATGAGAGTGACTACTCACCGGTTTCAGGAGCCATAGATGAACCCTTAGGGAATTCGTATGCGGGGGCATTGCTTTCAGGAGGTAAATCTGGCATTGTTGTATACATGATAGTGTCTAACACATGTGCATTGTGCACGTCTCCCCATCTCACATGTGACGTCTGACGTAACGTACTGTGACTGATATAAAAACGAACTCCAAACAAGCCGCAAAAGTAAAGTTCTCTACTCAGTATTGGAGCGCCCTTTAAGATGTTTATAACCATTGCCGGAGCTCAAGATACTTTACGGTAAGGTTGTGCTTTTGGGTAACAGAGGCTCACGCCGGCTGTGTCAAATCTGGCTGGTTATCAGCAAGCAAGACGTGCCAAACTTGACGTGCGCGCGTACCTGTACTATAGTAACTTATATCTGGCAGTGAGGGTTTGGTGAGGGTGCTCTTTGAGTTTAAAATTGGATTGTTGCATCAAAGCTTCAGAACAGTATTGCCAAGGGTCCCATCGAACAATTGAGGAAGGAAACAAGAAGAGGTCGTTTGGTGAAAGGGGGTTATGCCTGCGATAAGGCAAACGTTGACCCTCCAGCAGGTGTAAAGCAATCTTGGCAAGAAGAGCAGGAACTCCCGCATTTGCTCGCCCTTAGATAGCTCGCTTTTCTGCAGGTGATGTGTCAGTCACTGAATCATGCATGAGAAGTACGGAAAAGTACCTCAGCTGTTGGTCGGTCAACCAGATATATCTATAACGGTGTGGGTACCCTTGTCGTGCTCAAATGAGGCCTGCCATCCCGATCTAAAACTGTTCTGAGAGCATGATGTCGTCTTGAGGACGGAGAGCTCGGATAGTGAAGCCTAATTCGTGCCGGCAGCTCCAAAAGTGGTCTGTTAGACCACCAAAGTGATGCTCTTTCTCAGCGGACGTCTGACCTGGGCTGAGAACGATCCTAAGCGTGTCACTGGAGAGAAGCCTGGCAGTCCCACAGACTCACCTAAAACCACTGAGAACCACTAGACGAGAATGTTAGAGACTGGTTTAGAATGTTCAGCTTTCAAGTGACTCACCTTCTAACCCGCTCCAGAAGTGACTCCGAAGTTTCCCCAAGGTGAGCGTACGTAGGCGGCTCAGCACACCCCCGCTTCTGCCTCTTGCCGGAACAACCAGGTTCCGAATGATCAACCGACTGATTGAGAGTGTCGTCAAATGCTTAGATCGGCCGTTTTCTGGTCCGAAGATCCTGTAGAGGAGAGCATGGAAGTAGATTGCGAGGAGGCCACAAAACCAAGATTATGTGAAGACGTCCGACACAAGTCCGACAGCCCACTCCTCGTCATCTCTTGATTCGCGTTTTGGTGTCATGGGTCTAAAGAACGCGTCTGTGTTTTTATAGACGATTATGATAGTGTTGGAAGGGCGTCAAGATGGCACTTATGTCGACCTAAGAAGAACGAGGTGGTGGTTCGAGTTCAATGTTTGGCGGCCTATACGGCCAACACTTTTCACTTCAACCACTATGTTTGTCCGTATCTCCCACAAATTCTACAGTATTCAAAGGTACCTCGAAGACGGTAATCGACGGTATACTTCATCCTAGGTAAGTACCGGCAATCACAGCTTTGCCAACATTGTAAATCCCACTCTTTCCGCCAAGTCCTTCATCTCAGGCCCAATTTCTCGATAGGTGATCCCCAGCTCGGACAATAGCTTCCTATATATCAGGAGACATTCCGTTTGGTTATCCATCGAACGAACGCCGTCGTCGACGAGCCACTCCTCGACAGGCTTGAGGAGAATGAACGTAGATTGGCGGTAATGTCGGAGTACTTGTTGAAATTTCGCCGAACGAGTGAGATACTCCTGGCGTCTTCGGGCTTCTTCGTCGTTCGGTGAGGTTAATATGGCATACACAATTGCGTCTATTGCTGATCTGTCCCAAAGTCGGATAGCGCTGGAGTTTTCCTTCGTTTCCTCGAGGTCGAGATGCGCATTCAATATATCTTCCTGCATTTTGAGAGACCCAATGTCGTCTCTCGTATAACCCTTTGACTTCATAACATGACGCGCTACTTCTGTCACGTACGCAGTCCCAGTCAAGTTGAGCTTTTTGGCAAGGGCGTTGCACAATGTCGTCTTTCCAGTTGACTGCTTTCACGTCAAGTTTATCAGTCCACATCAAGTCAAGATGAATCCTTACCGAAGGCCCAACAACATAAACAGACTTGTTCGGTTTCCGCTGCCCTCGCTCCATCGTTGAGAGTCGGTGGTGGAAGGGCTTGCGATGGAGGGAAGGCCTTACGGCATCGCTTCTTGATGATTAAGTATAAACGCTCGTCACACGGCTGCTGTGGCTGGATCTTTCAATCGCCACAGCAAGCGCCTATCGTATCAGCCAATATCCCAACCACCACCATGGCACCCACCATCCTTCGGAATAATCCCCAAATGGACGATGATGCCTGGCGATTCAACGTCCCACATGAGTCTCTTCTGCCACCAAAACGCGCCAGGCAGGGCATTACATACGGCAATGTTGTCTCCTTCTCCACTGATGCTATTACCCTACGCATCGAGCAATTTCCATCAAATCGCGTCATCCACTCCGATGACCCATCCAAATTCATCTTGCTCTCCTTTGGAAAGGAATTCCGGTTTCCAGATCATCCACCACGAGTTTCGGGAGAGTACATTGCTCGATTGCTCAAGGCGGGGTTCTTCTTGAACGATATACAATATCGATTTTATCATCATAGCAACAGTCAACTGGTGCGTTTGCTGGTCCGTTGATCAGCTTTTGAAACTGACATCAACTTCCAGCGCGGACGCTCCTGCTTTTTGAGGCAAGCTAATAACGACAAAGAATTGGACGATAGAATTTACCAGTTAGGAGATTTCGGGAGGATTATGAACATCGCCAAACGTGAGTAACTCCTCGCCTTTATATTTCCATTCTACCGATAACAGATCTATGTAGGCGCAAAAAGGATTGGCCTGTTGTTCTCGTCTGCCCAGATCGACTATCGTCTCGACCCAAAGTATATAGCGGATATTCCGGACATACAAGATGGGGACGAGCTCTTCTCCGATGGATGTGGACTGATCTCGAAGAGGCTCTCCATTGCTCTGAGCAAAGCTAAGCGAATCACCTTTCGGAATGTTAGGTACACACCCACGGTTTTCCAGATAAGGTATGTCACGGTTCTCTTGAGCTCAGTATACCGCTTGACTCTTCAACTCAGATACTTGGGATACAAAGGTGTTCTGATGTTGCACCCCCAACTTGACGCCGAGGGAAAACATCTCGCCCAGTTTCGCAAAAGCATGAAGAAGTTCACAACGACCACGGACCACACATTCTCTGTCGTTGGGCACTCTAGGCCATACACGTTCGGACGGCTGAATAACGACATCATCGTCCTTCTCTCTTGTCTTGGGGTCACCAATGAAAAGCTGCTCAACAAACAAGACGAATATTTTCAGTGGTTGAGGAACGCGACAGAAGACCCCACTGCTGCCGTCGACTTTCTCTCCTGCATTGATCAGTATCCTCTAGCTGGGAAGGTTCTGCTAAATGGGATCAACGACCCTGACGTGGCAAAGGAAATCCGGCGCCTGCAGCTAGGCGAGATAGCCAGATATACGGACGAACGCGAAAAGTTTAAGTCTCGGATGATCATCCGCGAATCACGTCGTCTGTTTGGGGTCTGTGATCCGTTTCAAGTCCTCAAGGAAGGCGAAGTCCATATTCGGATTATGGCTTCTCGAAAGGGACCATCCACTCCGATTCACGGAGACGTTCTCATCGTCAGGAACCCATGTCTCCATCCCGGTATGTGCTCGTTAAGGGGGATCCTTCCGTGGACTGACTCGAAATTTGTCCGTCAAGGTGATTGCTTGAAACTCCGAGCGGTACATAATGACAAGCTTTCTCACCTTGTTGACTGCCTTGTTTTTGCGTCTGTCGCTCGCCCTGGTCATCATGCAGCACCTTCAATGAGTAGTGGCGGTGACCTTGACGGTGACCACTTTTTTGGGTGATGATTATATCCTTGCACTGACATGAGATGGCAGGCGACGAGTTCCTTGTCTGTTGGGATAAGGATCTTGTACCTCCCCGTATCTCGGAGGTCAGTGCGCAATCATGACATTTTCAACGATTGCTCACGGCCTGTTTTCAGTCTTACGATTATCCCGGGAATAAAGAGCGCATCAGCAAGAAAGTAACAAGGGAAGATCTAGCTGTGCATTTTGCCTCGTATAATGCGTAAGTACTCATGATTTTATGGGCTCATCTCGCAGAATTAATCTTTTAACCAGGGCTGGCCTAGCAAGAGTCTCGGCCCTTCACAACAAATGGGCCCGTTACAGCCCACAAGGGGCGCTATCTGTCCAATGCCAGGAATTGAACGCGCTACATTCGCAGTCCGTGGACGGCGCAGGCATCAAGATCCCCGATCGGTTAACAAAACCCCCAGAGCCAACTGAACCATTCATCATCGACCTTTTGGAGCAAGCTGCGCGGAAATTCGCCACCGAGTTCGTGCAATCGCAAACCAACCTCGCCTCAATTCCTTCTCTCGATGCCGAAGAAGGCCAGAAACTAATATCCCAACTCTTTAAAAGCACTCAACATGCGGTCACTGAATATGAGCTTTTCGAGCTTGCTTACCGCCTTTCCCAAAAGTATCGATTCGACCTTCGTCCCTATCTTGGGCAGATTGACTGGTCGGCCATTACGGCGATGCAGAAACATGCCGTTAGTACGACGCTGTCCCTCTCGTCTATTGATTATCCGTACATGTGGAATTCCCTGATCAAGTCTGATATCTTGATGCCTCAAGACCTGTATTCGCGGTCTCTTAGCTCTCCCTTTTCCATACAACGTTTATATTCGTCGAAGGAAAATGGGCTGACTACATTCTTTGAATACCTGCGCATGGCTACGCAAGATTACACGAGGAAACTGCTCGTCATCCAAGTACGTCATTTATTTCTTGCTCCCTTTTCGAACTTGAATGTCAATTTATTTCACAGACAGAGCGACGATTCTCTGTCGGTATCTTTATGAGGGGGAACATCCCTTGGGATGAAGAACCCGAAGTGAACGATAACGTTGTCGTCTGCTCTTTCTTGCCGGACTCCTCATCCACAATCGCTCACCAACACCCATGCTCTGCTGGGTACAGGCTTCACTTGAGCGATTCAAGAATGGAACTTTACAATAGACAGAGAAGCGATACGTTCGTCTTCATCAATCGCCAACTAGGGACCGAAGTCGTCGCGAGCATTGCGTTGCAAAAAATTTCAAAGACAGTTCAAAAGGCAAGCCTTTAGTTCTTCGCTTCGTCGTAACTTTCTTGGACTCACTTCGGTTTTAGCAATTGGGGAGGGTCAACAGATCACCTCTCATCGGTATAGAATTGCATGTGGTATCCAATCATGACCGTGTAGCCCACCAATTATTCGATCTGTGGTTTCAACAGTAAGTCGAACAGAATCAGTGCTTTCTATGTTATTTCATCTATGCTTGTTTCTAGTGTCCCAACTGAAGAATATGTGCGCCGATTTCAGCGCCAGTCGGCACCTTACCGCATGAATGATCTCAAGGATGTCGACTGGTCGAAAGAACCAGACTGGTTGAAATCTGCGTTCTATCCCCTAAGGGATCCTCAAGGTCTTCCTTCCTCGAAAAAGCTCAGGCAACACACTCAGGAAACCATGGACGCCGTTCTTGCCAGGAGAATGCTTCCAGAGCTTGATCAGATTCTCGATTTCGGGTTGATGTACCACGCCGAAGACGAAGTATTACTGGTCTTCCACTACGTCCTCTTACTCAAGCCTTTCCCTGAAGGGTTGGCTGTCAAGTGGATCGATAGATACCCTCCGTTGGTTTTCACGGTCTTGAAGGTATATCCCCCCGACGACGAAACCCTCAAACTACCGCCCGAAACCGAACAAATGACGCGTACTATCGTGCAGGCTATCATCCGCTCAGCTAATGACCTCCGCATCGCTTCCCTCGTCGCTTTGGAAAAAATAGCAGGGTCCATCGCGCTGTTACCGATAGACGAATACATTGAGATGCTCATGTTGGCTGCGTTGTCTGTGCGCTCGTCACAGCTTGTTCAAGAGGTTTTGCTAGTCATGAACGATATCCGACTCGCTCATTGTCCACAAACACCGGTATTGGAATACGGACACAAACATGCTCTAGGAGTAGTCTTTGACCGAGCAGAAGAGGCAGCGGACGAATGCCCCTGCAACGAGGATGGGAAACCGCGGAAACAGAGAAACCCACCTTCTCAGACTAACCTCACGTTCGTCGCGGATGATACTTTGCATGTGATGGCGACTTTACGAGTCGATGCGAAGACGGCTATTAGACTGCATTCTCATGTCCGCTTACAAGCGACGTCGAAGGCTGAGAATCGGTGGATTGACGCGCCTGTTTTGGATGGGCTCGTTGTTCAGGCTATGAAGGGCGAGTTGAAGATCAAACTTCTTCAGCCTGCTCCCCCCGAAACGGAGCGTATGGACTGGGTTGTGTTCAACGCAGGAAGCATAGGTACGCACGGTGCTGCTCTCAAAAACTTATCGTCATCCCTCTGATATACCCTTCCTCAGCAACTTCGAGAGCTATGTTGGACGCACTGTTACGGCTCCTGGAACAAAAACAAGCTGCGTGCTTGTTTTACAACTTTATCACGGGTGACGAGGAGGAAGCGCCGGAGGGCGAACAGGTCCCTTCCGTTGAGGTGATACCTCCAGGTGATGATTCAGGTCTCAATGAGAGCCAGAGGATGGCTGTACAATCTTGGGCTGCGCCTTTATCGTTGATCTGGGGACCTCCCGGTATGAGCCTCTTGCCCACTTTTTTTTCTCGAAAAAATAAATAAAATGTGGCAGGCACCGGAAAGACAACAGTGGTCGTCGACATTTTGAGAAGCATAATCAAGACATATTATCCTGCAACACCCAAAATTTTGATGACTGCGTCTACGCATAATGGTAAAGTATCTTGGCCCCCATTTTTATTCAATTAATCTTCAACTCCACATATAGCCGTCGACAACGTTCTAGAACGGTTCGTAAAAATAAACGAGGAAGACCAACTTCTCCGCGAGGAACAAATCCTGCGCGTAGCAACGGACCAATCGAAAGTGAACCAAGACCTGCAGCACTTCACCATCGACGCGCGGATCGGGGGGGATATGAATCAGAATAGTAGGCTGGTGAAGCAGGCACAGGAGAGGGTTGAGAGGTCGGTTTTGGTGTTTACTACGTGCGCTGGTGAGTCTTATATCTTAGGGTGACGCCGATGGAGATGAATAATTTGGGTAGGCGCTGGTCTGGGGATATTGAGAAAGGTGGATTTTGATATTGCTATTATCGACGAGGCGTCTCAGATAACGGAGCCGTGCGCTTTGATACCTCTCGTGAAGGGGATTAAGAGGGCGATGATGGTTGGAGATCAGTCAGTCCACCATTCGTCATTTTTCTCCAAACTCACATAAATTCTGAATAGCGTCCAGCTTCGGCCAACAGTCAAAAACATGGCCAAAGTCGTCCGATTCGACATTTCCCTCCTGGAACGTCTCTACTCCCAGCCCAACATCCCGGAGGGGATGGTCAAGACGATGCTAGACGTCCAGTACCGCTCTCCAAAAGAACTTAATGCGTTCCCCTCCAAGGAGTTCTACGAAGGCCGATTGAAGACGAGCGACGCGAACAGCGCAGGGTCTTTGAACGCGCTCAAGAAGTCCTCGTTTCCTTGGCCCATTGGCGACGGCGGCGAAGTCATCCCAGCTGTGTTTATACAGTGCTCTTCGGAAGAGGATTTGGGCGATCGGTCGAAGAGCAACGAAGGCCAGGTCGACGTTGTCCGCCATGTGTTGAAGCTCTTGAGTAGTACCCCCAAGAATCCGACGTCGGAGGAGGAAGATAAGTCGGAGGAGAAGGATTTGAAAGTCACCGTTTTGTCTCCGTACACGAAACAAATCCAGACACTACGCCGGCGCTTACCTTCATCCATCACCTCGTCCACCATTGACTCATTCCAGGGACGGGAGAGCGATATCATCATTTTCTCGACTGTGCGGTGTAATGTGGATGGCGATGTTGGGTTTCTGGACGATCCGAGAAGGTTGAACGTTATGTGGACGCGTGCAAGGCTTGCGTTGATAATTGTTGGGGATAGGGCGACCCTTAGTGCGAATCAGCTCTGGAAACGCGCTTTGGAGGCTTGTACGGAGGTTGAAATTGTATTGGAAGAGCCGACTACGACGGGGTAGTAAGGGTGTTTACAGATTGTTGTACATAAATGATAATTATAAGGATACAAGTGCCTCTTTTTGGTGATGTGTACTCCGGTGGGGTATATGGGTAGCTGGGTATGGCTCTGCGCGAAAGCAAAGATGTCGAAACGCTGTGGTTGCGGTGGTGATGGTGGTGGTGGCGTTCATGACACGTTCAATTGCCATGCCCCAGCTCGTTCCTCCGTGCTTGAAAGCCCCATAAACGTATTTTTCCCTCCGAGGAAATCCACGCGCCTCAGTCCCCGCGCCTTCTCGTGCTCATACTCCGTTACGTCCGGAGCGCACTCATAACGCTGTTTATACGCCTCGCTGACTCGATGTTTTATATCACGCGAAGGGAGTGAGCTGAACTCGGTCACTGTCACATTCAGCCGTAGAATGCGATAAAGTCCATCCATCACATCTGCAACGGTGATATAGCCGTCTTGTTGCCCTGCTCTCACATTGATTATCCAGGGGAGGTGGGGGCATACGATAATGAGCGAGGGCATTGGTGGTTCTGTTGCTGGTTCGGCGAAGCGGTCGGGTGATTGCGAGGGATGGGAGGGATGGAGGGAGAATATGCGACGCGACATGTCATAGATGAGTGATGGTGGGTTGGAGACGGCAAGCAGGGGATGGATGGTAGGGGCGAGTTTCCGCAATAACGCTTCATCGACAATTTTCAGAAGACATCCTTTTTGTACAGGTAATGTCTTGAGGTGAATATTATTCAATGCTTGGGTCACAGAAGGACAAAAAAGGATGCACACCTCAATTGCAACTTCCAAGACCAATGATTGTCTTCTAAGTGCCCCCAAGTTTCCTTCAAATGAGTTCACAAATATCTGACCCCACGCCAAGGGCCACTGGCCATTTGAATCATGAAAGCGATGCAAGCCAGATAAAAAGACAGTTTTATAGCGCTCTTTGAAAAATCCCTTCAACATATCCACTAGTTTGCCACATTGTCCCTGCTCGAACATGTGGTGAAGAGCAAGGAGGTGATTATGCCAGTTACCCCAGGGATAGCCAGCGATAGAAATTCCATAAATTTTGCTCTCAATACGGTCCTGGAAGCAGTCGTCTAACAACAAGAGATGTTGAGCAATGGGATCAACGTAGAAGTGCAGAGAACGATCTTTATTGGTCAAAAAGTCATGTAGTGATGCATGAAAAAAGGTGATTTTTCCAGAGTTGGATTCTGGGATTCGAAGAATTGATTTGCAACCCCTCAGTAATTGACGAAGGTGGTCTGAGTCTTTAAGCCGCAGGAACATTGCAAGATTCGTCATAGAAGATTGAACCTGCATGAGACAGAGTGCACCGAAGATGCGCATGAAGTCTGGGTTAGCAGAATATGGCGCGTCCCGTAAAACCTGAAGGTAAAGCCCATCGAGGCCATTATGCTGTGTCATAGCACTTTTCAATTTATCAGCTGGGAGTATGGGGACCTTGTAATCCAGCTTTGGAGTCAGGGGTATAGGATCCTTGGACTCCATCTCACCAACAAATTTGACGAGAGTGGAAGCGTAAATAAATAGACCTTGCGATTTTTTGACCAGAGATTCGATGTCTTCCGGCGATGGCCACGGTTTTTCTACATTCATCAGGTAATCTGATAATCTGATATTTAGAGCCTTGAATTCTTTTTCGAAGAATTGTTGGATATCATTATATGCCTCAAAGTCTAGCAGATCGGTGAAACAAGTTCTCTCTGGGTGAAGTCTGAATGTCGCCCGAATATTTTCCTCTGGTCGGCTTGTTAACAAAAATCGGATTGGCGGTGGCGAATCCCGGTATTCGTGAGTGATAATTTCGATGAGATGATCAACGGAGAGGGAATTGATAATACTTTCGTCTAGCGCGTCGATGACTACGATCATGGGCGGGCCGGGGGGAAGGAGAAATGATTCAAGGTTGGCTCGAACAACATTCTGGACAATTGGTGTGATAATGAGGGTTGGGAGGATGATGAACAAGACTGGGCGAGAAATGAATGGGTGCGACGCGATGCAGATTACTAAGGCGGCGAGGCAGCATAAACGGAAAAGCCAGAAGCCGTTACGCAATATCGGACTTATAGGATGGGAAGGGGGGGGGTCAATTATAAGTCGGAGGGGGTGGATCTGAATTCTCGGAAAGCCAGTCCACGAAAAGAAAGCACTCTGGAGTTTGAAAGTGTTTTCCATGATTCCAAAGACAAATTCGTCGACAGTACGAGGGCGTACGGGATCAATTATGAGCTTTTCGAATTGAGCTATCGGGAGCTTTTCAATGATTGAGGGGTCGCCCAGAACTTTCTGAACTCGCTTCTTTATTACAGGGTGGGAAGTCGCATGTTGGTACGCGATTGTCGCAATGACGCGGTCGACGGACCTACAGTCTGCATGGTCTCTGGAAAAGAAAAAACTGCCCACAAGCCGGTTTTCTTTAGCGTACTTCTCTGCGACCGTTGTTGCGATTGAGGTCTTCCCTGAACCAGCGGGACCATGAAGCCAGAATACCGCCCTGTCATCGCGAGAATCCCCCCACTCGTAAATGCGATCCAGTAACACTCCTCGCGTCCCTGGTAAGCAGGGTGTTGCTGCCTTACGCTTCCTTGAATCGAAGGAGGCGCTCATAACCACGAGGTCTCCCAGAATCTCCAAACCCTGAGCTTCACAGAAAGTTGGGCTCAGCAGATTACGATATCCAACATATAGAATGTTTTACGCACCATAATTGACGGGGGTGCGGTTGTCAATGGTGCCATGAATTGTTGTATGGTTTATGATGTCTAATGGCATCGCTTATTGATGGTGAAATCTGCTCCGAGTTAAACACTCACTTCGGTTGTCTGTCGAGGAATAATCATTATTAGAGTTGATAGCGGTGCTATGATGACTGTTAAAGGAGTTGGTATTAGATGTTGACATGGGGTGAATGGTTGTCGCTCTTAGAAAGCCGCTCGCTCGTTATCGTATGTCGGAGATTTCTTTAGCCGGTCATAACCGGCTCGCGTTCTGACTGAGTTTCAAATTTCAACACTGGTTTGAACCTGAGTTGCAATAGATTGCCATCGGATCGAGGCGTTGAAAGGGTCCTAGTTCGGTTATAACTAAGAATTGATGGACCGGATCAGTTACAACGTGATCGTATCGAGACTTGTATCCGCGTAATGATGGATCACTGGCATATGGATCGTTGACGTCTTCTTGCTAGCGACCTGATTACAATTTACCTCCCATTCCTCTCTCCCAACCTCACGGCGTGTCTGTGGAGCATTTACGTTGTGAACATCTTGCTTCGTTATCTTATCTGGCCAAATGGAAACACAAAAGCAAGCCAAGGCAACGGAAAAGGTTGTATGTGAGTTCTGTGGGCATGGGTTCAGCCCCTACGGAATCGGATCGCACAAAAAAGCTTGTCAGAAATGACGGGAAAACGAAAGGGTAGATCGACAGGTTGTTGAGAAGGAGCTGAGGGTCAGAAAAGCCAAAGAAGAAGGTGCGTGATTGTTTACACTCCCTAACTTCTCTATTTTAATATTTGATTCCATAGCGGAATTGCTGGCGCTTGGTCGGCGCACGCTCGCAAAGGCCATGGCGGCACCAACACATCTTAGTACGTGTAATTTAGATGTTTTTTGCTTATAATATGCTAACGGGATATTTCATCAGATCTTTTGAGACGAGGGCAATCACACCAGAATGTCGGCCTGCTGAGTTTACCTGGTATTTCTGCTCTCCGTATCTCCCAGCTAATTCTGAAAGTCCTGCTTTAACAGATGATGGGTGGGCAAGCTGGGAGAGTCGTGCCGCATCACCCGAACCACCGCCACTGCCCGCATCTGATATGCTTGATCACTGACTCAGCTCATTGTGCTACGCGTAATGCCTGAGTATCATCCACACAGCGGCCGCGCCACACGCATTGATCATTTCAATGAATACGGATTCCCATCGGCTGAGGCTCCTAGGCTAAGACCGCTTGATGAGCCGTGGCGTCCCTTCCGCTCTCGTGTTGATTTTGAGTTTGCGGAAATTGCTCTCAAGTCTCATTTAAATAAGAAGACGGTCAATAAACTTATTGCAATCCTTCGTGCATGCTCATCTGGTGGTGTAAAAACCATCACCTCGTCCACCATCGACTCGTTCCAGGGCCAGGAGAGCGATTTTCTCGACTGTGTGGTGTAATGTTGATGGCAACGTTGGGTTTCTTGACGATCCGAGGCGGTTGAATGTTATGTGGACTCGTGCGCGGCTTGCGTTGATCGTTGTTGGGGATAGGGCGACGCTCAATTCGAACCAGCTTTGGAAACGCGCTTTGGAGGCTTGTATGGAGGTTGAAATGGTGCTCGAAGGGCCGACTACGGCGGGGTAGTAAGGGTAGGGCTGCGCACCGTCCCCGTCATAGACGGGTCGACGGACGGGTCTGACGGGCAATTGTCCGTCTCCGTTTGGACCTGCAGAACACCCGTTTTCATCCGTCACATGACGGCCGTAACGGCCGTCAGACTCAGACGGGTCATCGACATATTCTATTATTTCCTCGTAATTAGCTGTACTATCTTTTGATTGTGTCAAAAGTGTCTTATTATTTACCTTTTGCAAGCTCTATCTCAGCTACATGTGGTTCAAATGCAGCTCGAAAACAATTAGAAACAGCCTAATGGTGCTGACTCATCGCAATTGAAACCCCGCGAAATGTCTGTTACACACCTTGAGGTTGCAATTTGCTTTTTGAAGGTGCAAATCTTTCTTATTTGTGCTCAATAATTCTTTTTACTTTTTCCAGGTACCGAAAAAGTGTGAAAAAAATGAATTACATCGAAAGGTGGGCAAAACGGCCGTCTAACCCGTTTACGGCCGTTTTTGACCCGTCCGCTTCCGTTCTGACTTTCGAAGTGCAAATTTACGGCCGTTAATCGACGGCCGTCCCCGTCAAACGGACGGTGCGCAGCCCTAAGTAAGGGTGTTTACAGATTGTTGTACATAAAACAGTGGAACCTTTGACAAAGAGGATAGTGGGAAGCCATTTGGATCTCGCTTTGGAGGAGTTGATTATCAAGGTGGCTAGGAGAAGTACTGAGTGGCAGCACTGCAGTCATGTTGGGGATGGCCATGATTTTCAACTTACTATGTGTGCTGGATCAGAGCAGCCTTCTGTTTCAAGACAATGTGCCTTGCACATTCGTTTCTCGCAGCCTTTGCGAATCCATTTGGAGTTGCACCCCTTGGCGCGACAGGTTGGCTTATGCGGGCCCGGGGCTACTATCAGTATCAGTGCGTTGGCCTTTATACTTCCTATCCCAGGAACAGAGATAGGTGGGAGAACTCCAGTTCCACCAGGTGGCAGGATTGCAGGGAGAACAGCTGTTGAGCCAACACGAGGAGAGAGGGACAGTGTTCCAGAGCCTGGCAACCAGCGAAAGAAGTTGCAAGCCACGCCGGTTTCAGGGTTCTTTCGAAAACACTAGCCTAAAGGTAAACAATGTCGAGCTCTGAAATTATGCATATACTTACTCTCGCAAGCCATCGCCCTTGATTCCCGTTCGCGTTGGACTTGACTGGCGAATAGTAGACATGGCGGTTACAGGTAATACACTGAACCTGAATAGACGGCGTTGTTTGAGGTTCGGTGCTTGCTGCACCAGATATCATTCTATGGCCCAAGTGCAAGTTGTAATTGATCGATATCTGCGCAAGATACACATCGATCAGCGTGCGCGGCATCAATTGCAATGAGAAAACATGTACAGTTTCGGCTACGTTGACCGCCCCGCTTACGACGACGTTTTGAGCGCCCGAGAGGACATTGATTCTGCTCATGTTAGAGGGAAGGAGAGGGTTATCTAAAGGAGGGAAGGACATGGGGTGGAAGAAAGAGGCAAGCGCTCAGGCTGGAGTCAGTGCAGACGGAGATTTCCAATGCTATGAGCACTTGACAGTTTGACGCCCAGGTATTAGCCTTCCTTCTACGGTCTGTGGGTTGTTTGCAGGGGACGGGCGTTTAGGCATCGCCCAAGAGCCGGGGTAGCAAGGGTGTTTACAAATTGTTGTACATAAATGATAATGATAATGATACAGTGCGATTTTTCCTCTTCTTCTCTTTTTGGTGATGCGTACAATGTCCGGGGGGTATATGGGTAACTGGGTATGGCTTTGCGCGAAAGCAAAGATGTCGAAACGTCGTGGTCGCGTGAGGTGATGATGGTGGTGTTCATGACACGTTCAATTGCCATACCCCAGCTCCTTCCCCCGTACTTGAAAGCCCCATAAACGTATTTTTCCCTCCAAGGAAATCCACGCGCCTCAGTCCCTGCGCCTTCTCGTGCTCATACTCCGTTACGTCCGAAGCGCGCCTATAACGCTGTTTATACGCCTCGTTGACTCGGTGTTTCATATCATGCGAAGGGAGTAATTTAAACTCGGCTTCTGTCGAATTGAGCCGTAGAGCTCGATAGAGTCCATCCATCACGTCTGCAACGGTGATGTACCCGTTTTGTTGCCTGGCTTTGACGTTGATTCGCCAGGGGAGGTGGGGGCATACGATGGTGAGTGAGGGCAGTGGTGGTTCTGTTGCTGGTTCGGCGAGGCGGTGGGGTGATAGTGAGGGATGGGAGGGACGGAGGGATGATATGTGACGCGACATGTCGTAGATGAGTGATGGTGTGTTGGAGACGGCGAGCAGGGGATGGATGGTAGCGGGGATAGAGGGTAGTGGTGAGCAAGCGTATGGTGAACCGATGAATGATAAGGGTGGTGGAGTTATGGGTTCAGAGGATATGGGCAAGGGCTTGACAAACCACGGTGGAGAAGGTGTAGCGGAGAATGGGTCGACAGAGAAGTGGACGTGCTTTCCTGGCATGAGCAAGTAAGTATTGAACTACTTGACTGGCTTGAGAAGTTTCCATCCATCTGGAGAGGATAGATATATGTTTTCTGGTTCGAGCGGAAGATTCGATATGAGTCAATTTTCATCATTTACCATAAGTAGGTGGCAGTGACAAGCGCTATGAGCTACTACGCCGTCAAATCCGCATATTCCCACACTGCCGCAGAACTGTCAACATCGCCCGCTGCCGCAGCCTTCACGACAAATTGACTCAAGCCAAAGTCAAGCGCTTAGATAAGCTGCGGAAGCGCTCGAACAATTTCATACAGCTTCGCAGTGCCTTTGCGAAGTTCCAGGGTCGTCACCTATTGCGTAGAAAATTTCATGCGCGTCATCGACTGACGTTTCCAATGGTATGCCTTGAAGTTCCAGATGCGTATACAGTACTTACCCTTATTTTCTCAGCTCAGCTCGTCAGCTGCGCGGGCTAGATCTGTTCTCCGAATCACGGAAACACCTTGGTCATTGGCCGAGGTATACTTGGCTCCCGCTTGAGGAGAATGCGCATGCTCCATCGCGTACTTCTTCGACTGTCCTTGTTCCAAGTTCCTACGCGCAAATGCCACACTGCAGGGGGTAACGCTCAAGTTCTCCGGAGACGAGAAGCATACTTTCTATGACTATGTTGGTGGACGATGGCTATGGAACGAGAGAGAGCGCAAGTTGCCTCCTGCTGCTACTCGCCACGTCAGCATCTAACTTTTCTCCATCCGGTGCTTGACGCTCGTCGTGTCGAGTTTTAAGTGGACGCTCTTCAGAGAGTAGCTTGAAAATCCCTACATCGTCCCGCGCCCTCGCTTAGTTCGGCGGAACGAACCCCATCGGCTCCGCATCATCATGGAAAAGGCTCGTGGAACTGACCTGCGGACCCGCTGGCTGCTCAGTGCTCACAAACCATGGCCCAGGCATTCAGCCATTGATTTCTTGGATACATGGTTCCGGCAAAACCCCTTCATGCGGACTATCAACCTATGCTTGACTTCCTGATGCCTTCAGCAGAGCTTTGTACTCACAAATTATGAAACTTCGATTTTAGCGAGGCTAACATGAGTTTCTCCCACATCAGGGGTCCATATCACATCCGTTCAATATGCCCAGTTACGCCATACTAAGCCATACTTTACTCAAGTGTTGTACTCGCCTGAAGAACGAGCCTTTGGTGCTGGGCTCATTCCATCCTTAGTATCCTCAGCGGTTTTTCTGAGTTCTTGGATACGCTCTTAGCGGACAAAGGCCCGACAGCGTGCCCCAGAAAGGCCCAGCTTGATGCAGAGTTTAAAGCAGAGGTGTGAATGCACCGTTACGGGAAGACCTGACGAAACTGTGACTACTTACTTTGATGCAAAGCTCTAGGCGATGAGATGGTGAGTATGAGGACGTTGTGAACGGTTACAGGTAACGTGGGGAGGGAAACCATTCCGTTTGCACATTGGATGTTCTCATTTTTTCTGTTGTCTTCTTCAGCACGAATCTAAAAATAGAAAATCTTTTGAGGTCAATCGGATTTTTCCGAATTACCACCTCCGCCATGAGTGGAGGAAAGAAGCTTTGTAAGATCTCTGGCATCCTACCACGTAACACCACCTTCAGCTCCAGTTCCCATCGATAATGGCGCCGGCAGACGAGTACTCAGTACCTCAAGAAGCGAAACAGCTCTTGTTGCAAGGAATCATTGACAACCCACTTCACGCTTTGGCGCCGGATGACATCGAGGCTGCAGCTTTGATGATCGAATATGTCGGTACACACTTTCCAGTTATCCCGATCAACTGGCGTTTTGCGGAGAGCATTTCTGCTATCAAGGGATTTCAGGGGGCGATGCTTAATGTGCTGTTGAAGGAGAAGTATGGACTTGATTTTCAAAAAATCGTTATCGACACGTATGTACATGATATGTCAACGACATTGCTTATTCATGCTCATCGCTTTCTCTTTTTTTTTCTAAGCGACCATGCGCAGCTCTTTATTATGTCAATGATTTTGCCCGTCATCGATCCGCACGGAGCGCAAGTACGGCCCAGCGATCCAAGGTTCTATCAATATTTCCCGAAATGCGACAAGCACGAGATCGGTCTTGACAATGCCTGCACGAGCATCTACAAGACGAAGGATGGTCGTTTTTATCATTTGCACGGTTCGTTCAACATATCCACCATTATTCATGTTACCATTTCGATTAATATTTGTGTTACTAGGGAGCTTGGATCCGCAAATCTGCCAGGACGTGTTAGATATCCCCCTTGACGCACGTCCAGCCAGCGTCAGCGAGGCGGGCGAAATATATCAGGAGAAAGTATCGAAATATGATGCAGCGGAAATCGAGAACTTGATGAATGATAAATACCGACAGGCGGGTACCACATGCTGGTCTATGGAAGAATACAAATCTAGCGAGCACGGAAAAGCAAATGCGCACGTCGGACTCTATGAAATTCATTACGTCCCAAATCCCAAGCAAGCGCCGAGGTGGTGGACGAATGTCGAAGGCAAAACTAGCGCAGCTAGGCCTCTTTTTGGGTTGAAGATAGTCGACCTTACTCGGATTGTTGCGTCTCCTGCCGTGACGAGGGAGCTCGCTGAGCTCGGCGCTAGCGTTATGAGGATTACTTCTCCTAATATTACGGACTTTACGGTCTTGAATTTGGATATGGGGTGGGGGAAGTGGAACGCCCATTTGGACTTGACCAAGGAAGAGGATCGGAAGGTTTTGAGGTCCCTGATTGAGGAGTGTGATGTTGTAGTTGATGGGTATCGGCCTGGTGTGATGAAGAAATGGGGTTTTGGGAAGGAGGAGATTTTGGGATTTTTTGCTGAGAAGGATCGTGGTGTTATTTATGCCCAGGAGAATTGTTATGTGCGTATTTTTTTTTTGTCATCGCCTCCGTGCATTTTGACGACGTCTTAGGGATGGAATGGGCCGTGGTCATATCGTTCCGGGTGGCAACAAATAAGCGACGCAGTACGTGATTTATTTTACTGTCGTTACTACTGAATCGAATGCCATTCTAGAACTGCGGTGTTTCCCTTGAATTTGGTAGAGCGATGGGCAACGACGAGGCCGTCACACCCGTCTTTCCCAACTCTGATTTCTGGTATTTTCAACGTGTGTATTCTTCCTCTTGTAATTTATTCATATACCCCTCGCAGCACGGGCGCAGCAGGCGCAACAGGAATTCTGCAAGCCTTAATAGCGAGATCCAAGACGGGAGGATCCTACGTTGTCGATGTGAGTTGTTACCACCATTTCCGCGTCTAGATGTTTATCCCAAATTCCAATCTAGATTGCGTTGAACTATTATTCTCAATGGCTCATCAACTCCTGCTCGACCTACTCTCCCGAGGTTTGGGATAAACTGTGGTCCAATTACGGTCGTCCCGTTTTTCGCCACTACGATAACATGGGGGTTACCATCCCTAAATATATGGAGATGCTCATGGGCAAGAAGGCCCCCATTTTCGATCCCAAGTTTTTTGAAAATCGAGAGAATAAGGCGCTGGGTGTGCCGGTCAAGACGGTCAAGCCGATTTTGGTGTTCCCGGATCAGGTTGTACGGCTGGAGTATAATGTGGGGAGCAGAGGGAATGGGGTTGATCAGCCGAAATGGCCAGAGGACCTGCTTACCGAAATTGTTGTGTAATGCCCTAGTGGCGATGCCTTCTACAAAAGTCGTACAGTTACGCGTCAAGCGTTTGTGTAGATTTGTACCAACCGATGGATAGTTATGGATGAAAGGGAGAGTTTCTTGATCCTGAAAATCGTTTACTGTTGGTTCTGGGCTCATTTATGTGACCCTATATTCGATCCGCAAACTCTCACAATAAAAATCACTCCTGGTCCATATTTTCTGCTACACAGTCAAATATCCGTCCATTATGATACGAACCAAGAAAGTAGAAAGATACAAAAAAGGTGACATAAATACGACTCGGAGCGTCGAGCACACCGTATTCTCTGTCTGGGAATCGAACCCAGCTTGCACGTGGTGAAACCGGCGCGCAACCGATCCACTAGCACAGAGTTACTATTCCTTACATCTTGCATATATCATATAGATCAACTATTCAGAAGTCAGTCAGCTCGAACATGGAACAGGTCAACTGTATGACTACATGATCTACATTTTTCGGCCCATTAATTGACGGATTCGATAAACTACTAGTTTGAAATTTCCATCTGGTCACCAACATAAGAATAAATGACAAGGTCTCCGAAAGGCTAAGGTACGTACGCGCGTAAAGGCCGTGCTCAGTGATCACATCGATCACAGGCCAAGTGATGCTAAATATTTTTCTGTCGTTTCATAACACTCCTCCTGAAGATCCTCCCGTCGGGCATTGGCGCCAGGCTCTTTGAGAACGCCCACAGGGTTCAAATACGCGCCCTTATACTTCTTCGGATCGGCTTTGATGAGGGGAGACGCAGCAGCAAAGGCGGAGTTGTACGCTCCGACATCGGGACTTACTAGGAAAAAGCCAACTAAGAACCTGGCGATTCGGGAAAAGGAAAGCCGATCTGACATGGTATCGACGGTGCCTGGATGAACGGAGATGACAGTAATGGATGTGGTGGCAAGTTTCTTCTGAAGAACAGTCATTGCCAACAGGATCGCAAGTTTGGAGAAGCCTGACGTTGTTTATGTTCAACGGCGCCTACCGATGTTCGGCAGAATGAACTTACAATATTGGGAAAAAGAAGGAAAGTTGTCTTTACTGAAATCTTTGTTGAAATCCTCAAATGTCTTAAACTGGATATTCGGATCAGCGCCGCGAGAGAGTCTATGTCCTGTCGAATTAACCTGCCAGCGTATTCCACTCAGTGAGTCGACAGGCAGGCGTCATACACCCGAACTCACAGTGACGATGCGAACATCGGGATCTAGCTCTTCAGAAGTCTTCTTCAACAATGGAAGAAGAGACAGAGTTAGCTGGAGCGTGCTGAAATGGCTATCCGGACGCGATTCACAATATACCCTGACCGTGGTTTTATTTTGACTCACTTGACCATCATCATCTCTGAAAATATGACATCAACGAGTCAAAGAGCGAATATCACTCGCAACTCACGATCGATAGGTGCACCTGGCATTGCGATTCTGAATCCGATTTTTCATGTGAGTATGGAAATAGGGTTGGAGCGGCAAATGGAATTCACAAAGCCGCATTGTTAACTGTCAATGAACGGGTTAGAGTCACCCGTAGAATGTTAGGAATGTTAGGTATTTATGTAGCATACCAAGAACGTCAAGACGGTCCTCTCGACTCATGAAATCTTCAGCAGCTTGTTTCGCTTGTAGAGGGGTGCTGATATCGCAGGGAAAGTAGATAGCGTTCCCAGGACCGATGCCCTCTTCATCCAAGTGTGCAATAGCTGCTTTGCCTTTCTCCTCGTTCCTGGCTCCAAGGTAAACCTTCGCACCCTTCCTGGCGAGGTGTTTTACGGTCGAGTATCCAATCCCATGGCTACAGAAGGTCACATTGAAAACGGAAAACCAAGAAATAACAAGAAATACGCACTTTCCACCGGTGACAAGGATAACTTTACCTGTGAGGTCGAGCAGGTCCTTTGAGGGGTCAAAACTTCGAGACCACAACATGAGTGAAGAAAACTGAAACACTTTGCACCATCACGCCACCGTCACTGGGAGAAACATGGCTTAAGTAAATGCTTCCATGACCGCTTCGGATGGCCGACTGGTCGCAGCTTGTCATGGCTCGCGGCGGTATAGGATCAGAGAAGTTGTATCGAATTTAGACACTGACGTTAATCCGGCCCGCTCAAGCCCGGTTTCAGCGGCGGAAAGATAGAGTAAGATTCCTGTAAGTAATCCCATAGCCCTCATCCTTGAGTTGCTCTTGTCGCACGTCAATGAGTTTCCCCACAGGAATTAAATATATCTTCTCTGAAGACCGGCAAAAGCAGGGGTAATTGCGCTTGGGTCGAGGTGGGACGTGACCGAAAACGGAACGTGTCGACTATAACCATCCCTTGAACTGAGATCATGATGGTGGTTATGGAGGTATTTCAAGTTGCGAGATTCCGTTAAAGGGGATCAAAAACCAGCAAACCTGTACAATGCCTGCGGGAGGTTTAGATGCGAAGTGAAAAAGGAGTCGAAAATGTACAGACGGGGAGAAGCAAGGATGACCTTACGATTGAAGTTCATTCTTGGAGTCTTTAAAGTCCCAAATTGAAAACTGTACGTTCGGATCAGCGGTAAGTGAGCTGTGAGAGGGGTGACCTCCGTAACAATCATAACGTCATGAGTCTGCCCGTTCCCATGTCTTCTTCCAGGAAGGCGACAGGGTTAGAGTGTAGTGTCGGTTGCAACTTTCACTGTCTGCAATGCTTGAGTCTGGAGGTCTGAAATTGGGTGGTCCCAATGACGATCAGAATGTTACGAGACTCAAAAAATAGATCGCTTACGTGGGAGCTCTGTATGTGCTAGATACAATCTGCCAAAATCAGTGAGATTCTCAATCGCGGCTTCTTCATTGCTTTTTTAAGGTAAACATTTGCGCCCCTCCTTGCAATATGTTTCGTTTCATAGTAGTAAGAGTACCCTGAAACGAGTCGTACAGTTTGAGCTGGGAATGGCCATTCTGGTCAGAAAACGGTGTGACTCGAAAAGCTGTTATAAAACGGAGGGTTACACTTACAGAAGATCTCACGCGCTTTTGAACGCTTTCAACCATTGTGATGGGGAGGGCAGCCGTGTTGAGCGAAAGCATTAATGCCTGTTAGTCACGTGCTAACGTCGGATAAGGGCAGGCACATTGCGCTCGACGTGTCATTTGCCGCAGTGGTCGCTTCTCTCAATCTTTTACGACGCGCTCACGATCCTCAACAGCGATGAAGCTCAAAGAAATCCACAGAACCTCAACATTTGCATGGTCTCCATCGGCATCTCTTCCGTTGCTGGCCACCGGAACAGTCGCGGGTGCTCTTGACGAATCATTCAGCAACGAAAGTCAGCTCGAAATATGGGCTCCTAACTTCCTTGACAAAGACGAGTATGATCTCGGTGGAGAAGGCCAGCATGGGCCTCGAGGATCAGTGCGGGATACAGCAAGGTATGCATGCATAGTGCCGCCGGGATCATTACTGAAGCCTTTTCTTCAGATTCAATCGTCTGGCTTGGGGTCATGTCGATAGCAGCCGTCCGCGCGGTGTGATTGCAGCGGGTTTGGAGAATGGAGAGCTCGCTTTGTGGGATCCCTCAAAGATACTGGCCGGCGCCGAGTAAGTCGATCTTCATTTGTCGACCTCGCCTTGCGTGAGCCAACCTGTCGAATCCAGCCCCACGGAATCGCTCATTCTTCGAAACACAACTCACACCGGTCCTGTGCGTGGCCTCGATTTTAACCCTATTCAGACAAATTTACTGGCATCCGGTGGTGTTGCTGGCGAGGTGCGATCTTGAACTTCGGTCAGGTCATCCTTACTTACCATTTTTAGATCTACATATGGGATTTGAAAGATCCTAGCAAGCCGTATACCCCCACGCCAGGCTCACGAAGCACGAAACTTGATGAAATCACATCTGTTGCATGGAACCAGCAGGTGCAGTACGTGCTTGCTGGTGCTAGTAGTACCGGATATACCGTTGTGTGGGATCTGCGAGGAAAGCGTGAGGTCGTTGCACTCGCTTATGGAGGTGGTGCGGGGACACTTTCCGGGCAGGTAGGAAGTGGAATGGCAGTGGGTGGAAGGCGAGGCATGAGTGACATTGCATGGCATCCTGATAACGTGTGTCTGCATCCTTGAACTTTTCATGGCTTTGCTGATATCGGTGATAGGCTACCCGAGTAGTAACGGCGTCTGAGGATGACTCCTCGCCGATTATCATGGTGTGGGATCTTCGTAACGCCCGTGCACCGGAAAAGGTATTTATTATTTGCCTTATTTTCATTTCTCTGAGATTTACTTCATACCCTCAGATCCTCACAGGTCACGAGAAAGGTGTTCTGTCTCTCTCATGGTGCCGTCAAGATGCGGATCTTCTTCTATCTTGCGGGAAAGACAATCGTGCCCTCTGTTGGAATCCACAAACGTCTGAGATTATCGGAGAGGTAAGTTATGTCTGGATGCCTCTTTTACTTATGCTGATAATAATATAGCTCCCTTCTGCGGACAATTGGGCGTTCCAAGTCGATTGGTGTCCTCGAAACCCGGACATGCTCGCCACTGCATTCTTCGATGGTACCGTCGGCATTCACTCCATCCAATCCACAAACGAAGCCGCCGACGCAGCCACGGCCGCACCTCAGCAATCACACGGAGCAGACATTTTTGATGCCCCAGGCTTTGCTCGATCTTCCACTGGCGGAACTCTCTCCCTCAAGCAACCTCCCAAGTGGCTCCGCCGCCCTGCCTCTAGCTCATTCGGGTTTGGAGGCCAGCTGGTCACAGTTTCCAATCTCCCATCTGCCCAGGGAAAAAATCAGAGCAGCGCCATCCATATCCGCAAAGTCGTTACCGAGCAAGATTTAGTCGAGCGGGCGACCCACCTCCAAGCTGCTATAAATGATGAGTCTCTGAAATCATTTGCGGAGGAAAGGATCAAGGAAGTTGATACTGCGACTACGGGGGGTGAAGGTTGGAAAGCGTTGTTGAGTCTGTACAAGGCGAACTCGAGGGATGAGCTTGTTACCCTTTTGGGGTTCTCGAAGGAAGAGATTGCTGCTCGTGTTGCGGAGGCTGTGGAGAATTTGAAGGCTTCTTCGGAGTCTAAGTTGTCATTGGAGTCGCAGCAGGAAGAGGACGATATCATTGATGAGACTCCTCGTGGGCCGATCGTGTCTTTTGCGGAGCCTGAGCATCAGGAAGCGCCCTCGGAGAGTAGCGACGCCGGTGATGACTCGCAGCCGCCTTCAGAAGTCAGCGCTGGAGTCACGTCCGATAATGCCAGGGATGGAGAGTCTACCACCACCGTACCCAGTCTCTTCGAGGACGATATCGGCCCAGGGACACCTCAGTTTGATGCTGGTGATGACTTTTTCGCCACTGTTGGCGTTGCACAAGACGATGGAGAATCCCAGCAGATCCGTATTCCTCACACGAACTATGGCCTCGACTCTTCAGTTGCTGCTACTATTGGCTCAGGCCCTTCCTCCGTCACCTCTGAGACCTTGAAGAGTAACACCTTTAGGATTTACCCAGCTGATGAGTCGGAGGTTGATCGCTTAGTCACCAAGGCCGTTGTGTTGGGTGATTTCGAGTCTGCTGTGTCCCTTTGCCTTTCTACGGACCGATTTGCCGATGCAATCCTTCTCGCCGTTCGTGGAGGCCAAGAACTTCTCCAACGCACTCAGAAAGCATACTTTGAACGTCGTGCTTCTTCCCTGCCCTATCTCCGTCTCTTCCAATCCATCTTCACCAACGATCTTTCTGACATTGTGCAGAATGCGGATTTGCAGGAGTGGCAGGAGATCTTTGTCGTTCTTTGCACGTTTGCTAGCCGGGAAGAGTTCCCTGGGCTTGCTGAGCAGCTTGGTAGCCGCCTTGAGTTCCAGTTTACCATCGCGAAGTCTTCGAATAATCCTGAGATTGTAGCTGATGCTATTCCTTATCGCAAGAATGCGACCCTCACATACCTCGCTGCATCCCGTCTCGAACGACTGGTCAACATCTGGGCGGAGGAGCTTTTGGAGGAAGAAAAGGGTCTGGTAGCGGAAGAGAGGAGCAACTCGTATTACTCTGCTCATGCTCATTCGTTGCAGACCTTCGTGGAGAAGGTTACTGTATTCCGCTCTGCTACCAAGTACAAGGACGAAGATCTCACGCAAACAAGCGTAGGCGTGGACGAATCCGTCAAGATCTACAAACTTGCGCAGTTGTATGATCGCTACTTTGAGTATGCGAATCTCTTGTCCTCGCAGGGGCTTGTTAAGGAGGCGGTAGCTTTCTTGAAACTCACCCCTCCGGGATACAAGGGGTCATCCAGTGGGACGGACTTGAGTGCCGAACGAGATCGATTGATCGCTGCTACCGGGGGCGGAGAGCCTAAGCCAGCACCCGCACAAAACACTCCTGCTCCTTCAGTTCCCGCTACCACGAGGGCACCTTATGCTTATCCTTCAGTGCCCGCCGTACCCGTGGTATCGACTCAACCAGCTGCCGTGCCGCAACCTACTGCCTATCCATCGTATCAGCTGTCGGTTCCAGCGGTTGGCCCATATGCCCCTGCCCAGCAGCACCAAACGTCCTACATCCCGCAAAACTACACGAACGCGCCATACAATCCTCAAGTTTCGTTGACGCAGCCTCCTCATCTCAGGCAACAACCTCAACCAGCTCCTACTATTCCCCCTCCTCCCCGTGCTACGAATGGGGCGACTGGGCCTCCGCCACCACCAAAGAAGGATAACGGAGGTTGGAATGATGCACCATCGGTTGTTGGTCCGGCACGAACACCTGCGGCTTTGAACCTAAACAAACCCGCTGCTATCACGTCGCCTTTCCCCAACGCAACTCAGTCTCCTATGTATTCACCTCAAGGGTCACCGTATATGACTCAGGGTCAGGCTTCGACCGCTCTTCCTCCCCCTCCTCGACCTGGAAGCGTTCAGGCTCAAGCTCGCGTGCCTCCACCGCCTCAAGGGCAGCGAATCCATCCTGGTGGCGCGTACCCTCCTCAAGGCAGACCTCCCTCACGTACGGCTGGCCCTCCTGGACCAGTGGCACCCCCAAATCGAATGATGTCTCCTCAACAGAGCCACGGTCAACCATCCCAAAGACAACCCACCCCAAGCCAGTATGCACCTCCTCCTCGAGGACCCGTCCCAGGCCAAACCCCACCTCCCGGCCAATTCGGACGCTTGCCTCCTCAAGGTGGTCAACCGCACGCTCAACCATCACACGGCCCCAACCCGTATGTCAGAGCCACACCTCCACCTCCAGGACCCTATGCCCCTGGGCCCACGAGTATCCCACCACCACATCAACAGCAGCCCCCGCAGCCCGGCCCGTATGGTCCTCCACAAGGAATGCAGCGAGGTGTCCCGATTCAACAGCAGCAGCAGCCACCCCCTCAGCAGCGTGGAGGTCCTCCAGACGGACCAGCTGCACCTCCTCGCGCTCCTTCAACGAATCCACCGGCCCGGGTACCTGCGGGCCCTCCCCCACCAAAATATCGTGAGTGTCGTGGTAGATGACCTTGTAATCTTTTGGTGAAAATGTTGATATATTCACAGCTCCTGGTGATCGCAGCCATATCCCAGACTGGGCAAGCCCTGTGTACACTATCATCTCCGAGCACCTTAATCGGATGAGGCAGACGACTCCGGTGAGCATATAACATATCCTACGTTTGCGTCTGAGCTGAGCTGTTTTGACGTTGATATTAGGCAAACCAAAAACGACTTGTCGATGACCTTGAGCGTAGAATCAACCCCCTCTTTGACGCCTTGAACTGTGAAACGCTCTCAAAACCCGTTGTGGAACAATTGGTCTCGCTGACGCGAGGTAAGTTGTCTTTTGCCACCGGGCTCTCTACCTGCTCGTGCTGACCATATTTTCGTAGCTATGGAGGCTCGTGACCGTCCAGCTGCGCTGGCGATTCATGTTGATCTCCTTACTCGCGGATCGCAGACGGATGATATTGGTCTTTGGATGTCGGGGATTAAGCAGTTGATCATGCGGTTGTAGGTAGAATTAGATATACGTTGTGGTTTCTTTCGTTTGAAATGAATTATTGACTCTTCTGCGGCTCATTTCTTGTGTGACAAATGAAGCATAAATAAGCGTGGTAAAAAGCATTTTGGTCTTCAAATTGCATTGACCGGGAGTCGAACCCGGAGCTAGGCCATCAGATCTCTCTTAACATAGAAAATGGGAAGACCCAATGTTACCGCTACACCATCAATGCATATGCACTTCTCTGCCTTCAAGTTGCACCAAAAATCCATTCCGTGCACATTCCGCGTATCCTGAACCCGCACCACATTTCCCTTCCACCCCTCATCTCCAAGGCATCAATTTCTCTCTCCTGGACCTTGTCCCTCATGTTGCCTCATCTGGCTCGCAGCACCATGGCCAGCGCGCGAACAGTGCGTACGTTTTGGCACGGTGGCATTGCCGTCGCTGGTGGTCTCTGGAGCTGCGGTTGAGGAGGGGTGCCCCGTTGCGTGGTTCTTGGCGTAGGTGAGGTCGATCGTTGGGTTTTGAAAACTCAAGCGCTTTTATAGACATGTCCACCACCAAGCGTGGTCGCTCTCGAAATATTCTCGCACGGAAGAAAGTTGTGCAGTAATCGACCCGTCACTGGCAGCAAACCCAGTCGTTTTATCTGCCTTTCTGGGACCCTACGCCAATATGTGGACTAATTATTGTCGTCTTTGCACAACTTTGTCTTTTCGGGGCCGAGTCTCTGATACAGCTTACACCGCACGAGGATATTTATGCAACCATACCGCCGACTTCTCGTCCTTTCCCCTGACCGTCGAATTCGAAGTCTTGTACCATGTCCGACTGCACTCCGACAGAATTCCGACATACCAGCCTTTGACAAACTCGAGGGGTGAGGCTTTGCCTTCCACGGGGCCCAATCTTAATTTATCTCTCTATCACAATACTCCGGGTACTGTCCTATTTCGATCAAGTGTTCACGTCACGCGTGAAATAGAACCATCTTGCGGCCATGTCGGCCTGAAAACAATTCTCAAAATCGTTGGTCGAAATAATACAGTATCTCTAAGAGATGGCCTACACGGAACTGGACGGGGCTCCTCGATCCTTTGCTAGGATGATTGGGTTCTATTTTTGGTGGTTTCTTGCCGTACAAAAAGCTCAGCGCTAAGCAAACAAACCATCTTGAAGCACGCATCCTCAGCCATACCACAAGGCTAATCCAACCTTACAACATGCAATTCCCAATCTACTTCCGTCTCTGGATGTGATCGTC